TCTCCAAGACATCATGTCCTTTAACTCTTCCCCACCCCATTTGGATCACCAACCAAACCTGAGGTGTGAAATAAATTATGGATTGTTCTCATAACCATAGAATTATTAGGAATCAGCATAAAAATACTCTGATTGTGTATTTGCTTACTTTTTAATCAAATATGAAGACCCTCCACAGATGACCAGATAAAAAGGACTAGGGCTAGGCAAAGCTTTGGATCCAGTTGGTAGCCTCCCAGTCCCAGGAAAATATGATTCTTGTGTGCCCACATACTCCAAAAGCAGTTATTTCTGAGGAGCGCACAGACCATTCTGATTGAACTAACAATTGATTTACTCCAGCAACCTACTTCCCATAAGACATGAACATTGTACGAGGTGGATCATTGATCCCTGAAGTTGCTTGATAACCCACCAAAAATATTTTACAGTTTTACTGAATGATCTTGGCTGTCCCCAACAGTTTTGTGAGAAATTTCATCAAGAGAAGCAGGTAAAAAAATGTCAGTGCTCCTGCATATGTAAAGTTAGAGATGAGAGGGGATTATTAAATAACCTGTTGGCATGATGGTATTATCTCCAGCTTTTAAAACCCACAGTAAAATTACTACATGCATAAAAAGTGAAATAACAGTCATATCTATTAGCTTAATTAGATAAAAAGATTTTCAAAATACTGCTCAGCTGCTTTGATGCAAAAAAACCCCCTACATTATATTTACCCAGTGGGGCAGTGTATGATTTGAATTTCATTTTTTTAATGAGGACCGGTTTAAAATTTTAAAGGGTCTCTGGGGCCTAATAATTTTGATGGATCTCTTTAGAGTTCCTTGATCTCTGCTCTCCTGCAATGCAGCAATGCAAAAGAGAATTCTCACTCCAGCTAAAGGAGCCTGCTTCACAATAGTGAAAATCTTCTTCCATCTCTTCAGTGGTATTATTATATCCATTCTCACTTCTGTTTTTAGCTAGAGTAAGTCTGAATAATGAACTACATGAAAGAACTCCAAAAATATAATTATTTATTGAATTTGTAGATAAAGAGCTGACAATCCAGTTTGAGGCACTTTTTGGTTAAAAGAATGCTGTTTACAACTATCTAGAGGCCCCTGAAAATTAATTTAAGAGTTAATCCATTTTGCTTATGCCCCCAGAGTTTCCCCATCTCTTTTATGGATGCTTACTCAATTTTCTCCCTCTTTTCTCTTTGAATACTTCTATTTCTACTTATAATATCTAATAATTATCACAATCCTCAGATCTATGCTTGCTTTATTCTTTTATTTTTCTGTGTGCAGTCATGACTCTGGTTTTCTATTAACTCATACCCCCAAAGATTGCAGCCAGACCTCCCCCCCCCCCAAGAATTCCCAAAGTCTTTATCTAACCATTCCCAAGAGGATGTAGTTAGGTAAGATTCTTGTAAATGGGTAGGCAACAATAAAGAAGCAGGTCTGTTCATCTCACATTGTCTTTCTGGTTCCCAGTGCCTGACAATAGGAACTATACTTATATTCTCCATGCTTTTTCTTAATTCTCCTATTTATATTCTTGAATATAGTGAATAAAGTAATCTTATGATAATATTCCAGTTTTCAGAGTATGATCTTAAGCAACCAACCATTTTCAAGGAGAACATCAGGAATTGATTTGATGTTGTGAAGCTCACTGATAAAAAGCCAGAGGAACTGTGGAACTAAATCAAATAAGATGATAAGGATAAATGTAAAAACACATTGCCAAAGATCAAGAAGAAGATGAAAGCAAACTGGGTAGCACAGGCTCTGGCAGAAATAGCCAAAAAGAAAAAGGAAACCAAAGCCAAAGAACACGGAGATTCTAGGAAGAAATATAACAAGAATTTCATAGAGCTCAAGAGACAAGAAGCAGCATCACAACATCTGTCAAGATATTGAAAAAGACATGGAAAAACAAGATTTTTTTTCCAGAAGATTTCCAAACTCAGAAGAAAATTTCATCTTCAAAATTGGTGTGCTAAAGAACACAAACAAACAAGTAGTAAATGATTCAAAGAACATCAAAGATGGAATAGTATACTGAAATTCTACACAGCAGAAATATCCACACTCAAGATATCTTACAAGACATTCCCTACTTAAAAGATTCTCTAGAACTTATAAGAAGATGAAGTTAATCTGGCTTTCTGGTCATTATCAAGTTGAAAGTCTATAGGAATTGATAGAATAGTTACAGAAATATGAAAATAATCTGTAATGATTCCAACCAAACTATGGCAGCAAATTTGGGGGACAATACAATGACCAGCAGATTGGAAGAATACAAAGAGAAAGAATTAACAGCAAACAATTGGACACTTTCCTTAATTTCCCATGATAGTAAAATAATGCTTAGAATCATCCAATGCAGATTAGAGCTTTACCTAGAAAGGACGATGCCAGATGTTCAGAAAAGGCCAGATGTTTAATGTGGCTTTAGAAAAGGCCAAACAACAAGAAACATTATTGCAGATGCACACTGAATAATTGAGAAAGCCAAAAAGAAGTCAATATTTCTGTCATTAATTATAGAAAAACCTTTGATAGTGTTGACCATGTCAAGCTGTGGAATGTCCTTAGAAAAATGAGAATTCAAGGACATCTAATTATCTGCATGATAATTAAACATACATTGCAGATTAACACTTAGTAGGTGGCAATAAACATCTTAGAAATGATATTCTGATGCCGTGATGAATAACTATAGAGATAAAAATGTTGCATGGAATGGAAATGGAAGTTGGACTTTGAAGAAGCAGGATAGAAAGAATGTGGATGCCTTTGAACTTTGAGGCATGGGAAGACTCTTGAGAATACCATAGCCAAGATACAACAAATGGATCAACAAACAAATCAAGAGTTCTCACTCAAAGTACAAATAATCGAGCTCAAATTATTATATTTTGGGCATGTTATGCAAAGTTAAAGCTCTCTGTAGGTCTGATGGACAAGGTAGATAGACTCAACTATAGCAACTATGGATGTACTCCTGAAGACCTGAAGGTTGGGAACATATCATCCTAGACAATTCTATGTAATCATTAAAAATTGATACCAATTTGATAATCAATCAATGAATGGTTTATAAATCTACTGTAATGAATCTTGAATGTTTCACACTGAAAGGCAGTAAGCAATAATGGGAACTTGCTTCTTATTTTCTTTTTAAAGTCTATAAAAATTGTTTTTGGTGATATCTGCCATTTTTTAAAAAAATGTCATTACTAAAGACATATTACTTCTTCACATTTATGACATCTACATGTGAATGTTTCTTGATCAAATAAACACGCCAAATTGCCCTCCCTATTCCCAAATTATCACATTCTCCAGAATATCAAATTATCCATTCTCCAGAATTTCAGTAGATTAAATCATGTTCAACATCTAGCAACATGAATATTTTCCTTCAAAGAGTTTATCTCTCTATTACTCTCTTTGGCCCATCATTGGAATAATTTGTTATCGTTACTTCCATTTTTCTCCAGAGTGGTAGATTCCTCTTTTATTCTCACAATAAGGGTAGGTAGGTGTAAACTTACTAGCCCTTGTATTATCAAGTGTGCATAAGACCGCATGAAAGATGTAATCATTTTTAAAAGTTTTGCATCTAATGGTGATAATATTTTTAGGATCCATTGCTTATGAAATAACTAGCACATTTTCTAATCCATAGAGGGACAATAAGCTTGGAATTCAGCTAATTGGTTTCTGGGAGCTTGTCAGATTTGCATGAGTGCTTATAGTATTTTTAAAGAAAGTGCAAGCATCTTTAGCTTGATTGCTCTTCTTACTTGTTCCATAGCTGTGGCTCACATTGTTGCCCATTCTGCCTCTTTCTTTGCTACTAGCTGGTCACATATAGTTTCTAAATCTGGAGGATTACAAGAAAAGAGCTTCCTACTATCTATATACTACTAAAGAAACCTCTCCTGTCTGTTTGTTCGTAATTTTCAGTTGATCCAAGTCGTGCATCAGAGGGGAACTTAAGGCACCACAAATGGGCAAACTTCAAGAATGGATCCAAAATCCGGGACCCATTACTCCTTGAAATTGAAATTCAAATATTGGAATTTTAAGGATCTTCAGAATAGTTATCTTCAAAAACTTCTGGCCAGCGCAGTGCCACCCTGCCACCCTGGTCAGCCATGGTCAAGTGATCGTGATTTCCAATATTCCCTGCCAGCTTCCCACAAGCAAAGTCAATGGGAAACCAGAAAACACTCTGATTCCCATTATTTGCTAAAAGGATGACCCAGTGTGGCATGGGCCATATGGTGTCTAACAATCTGACATGGCTGAATGTAATTAATATAAATAGTGACACAAAGAAACCATGATGATGTCACCTTCTAATAATGCAAAGGAATATAATATATGTGGTGATGTCATAACACAGTGGTGACGAATCTATGGCACGGGTGCCAGAGGCGGCACTCAGAGCCTTCTCTGTGGGCATGCGCGCCGTCGCCCCAGTCCTAGGCCTTCAGCTGGGTTTTATAAAACCTTTTTGCTTTAGGCCTCCACCGCCGCGTGCAAAAAAAAAAGGTTCAGTCAATCAGTCAATTTCAATTTCTCGCGGGAAAAAAAATCTTGTAAAGTTGGAATTGATTGATTGAACTTTTTAGTCCCATCCAGTCTGCCGTTACCACTGCAGCCATCCTCACCCAATGGGCACGCCCAGCCAATGGGCCACGCCCACCCGGCACCTGATGATGCATAAGTGTTTTTGGGTTGCAGTTTGGGCACTCGGTCTCTAAAAGGTTCGCCATTTTACACATGTAATATCACTCTTCCCTCCCCAGCAGACACCTTCTTAAACATGATGTATAAACAGAAACTAGTTACACTAAAGTACTTAGGTGTTAGGCCAAATAGTAGCAATGCCAGTTTTTAATAGCTTGTAGCTCATTCTTTTTTAATGATGTTGAAGTTAAGAAATTACAGCATGTATTTATAATAATGATTTGCTTTCCTTTTCAGGCACCGGATTTCTAAATCTAAGTTTAGGTAAGCATTTCATTTTTTCAAAAAATGTTCTCTCCACTTCTGGAGAGATTCTTATTAATAGGAACTTATAGATCTTATTGTTGTGAATAGTAATTGCTTATCATAAATATTCTGCTAACATTTGTGATCAGTATAAGGTTACTCATTCTTCCCGTTTAATCAACAACTAATTATTCTTTACATTAATTCAATGAAGATAAAATCTAATAAAATATTAAATTGTTGATTACTAAACTCCATATGATCTTGTTAACAATAATGTAATTTAAATATCATGTAAATGCAAGGAGGAAAATGGTTATTAGAATACATGAAGAGGAATCAAGGACATGGCAATAAGAGCATTGTGAATAACTGGAGTTAGAGTTAGTCCAAATTTCTTCGTGAATAGTCAGACCTTGTTAAAAAAAAATCCTCTGCATAGTCATAAAAAAAAAGCTGTACAGTTTTTATATGAGTTAGAAAACATGTTATGAGCAACTCTTTAAAAAAATCCTGCCTTAGCAGGAATTTTTTCATTCACAAAAACCAAATTTCCTAGAAACTTTAAAAAAAAATATAGTTCAAGAATCTTAAGTACAAAACAAGTGAAGTCCACATTTTCTCCTCTGAAACCAATATTTTTGTTTAACTTAAAATTTAAATTAGCCTTTTTTGGTGTAGAACAAAATAAAGGGTTTTTTTAAGAATATGTTGTAATTTCTTTAGATGTCTATGTAAAAATTATTTAGTATTTTGAAACACTTAGATTTCTAATATTTGGATACTTTTGAACCTGACAAATGGTTATTTGTTCTTATAACTATTATTATTACCCAGCGAGGTAATAATCAGCAACTTTGGCTGATCTCAAAATGCTAAGCCAGTGTTTATTAACCTTGACAACCTTTAGGATTTGTGGACTTCAAGTCCCAGAGTTCCCCAGCCAACATGACTGGCTGAAAAATTCTAGGAGTTGAAGCCCATATCATTTAGAGTTTTCAAGGCTGAGAAAAACTAAACTAATAATATCGGACCTGAGAAATAGTTGGATAAGAAACCACCAGAATTTCCATATATACGGTAAATATAAAGATAGGTGAGAAATCTGGCAGACAGCAATTTAGGAATCATATGCTGTAAGGTGTTATCTTAGAAAAACGGCAGACTGTCTGTTAAGATATTGCTGGAATTGTATTATTTTATTGATAGTTCAGCTAGAATGTTTTGATTGGGAGCATTCCAGAGTTGTATAAAAGATGGGCAGCTATATAAATGTTTTAAATAAATAAATTGTTGCTTATTCTTATTATTGGGCGAGACAGGGATAGAAGGGGGGCAGAGATGAGTTGCATCCTTTAAATATGCACCATATAAAAAGCCTAGACTAGGCACCAGTTGCTTGGAAACTGGTTGCTAAGCAAGCTAAATTCTGAAGAATAGAAGATGTATAATTAGCTCTTTTTTTAGGGGGGTGTTAGTAATTACTGTCTGAAGTCACTGTGACTCTCATGTGGGGCATATGTATTCCAGAAAAGCAAACTGTAACATCACATTGTGTTTGTAGCCCATCTCAGCATATGAGTAGTATTACTGTGGGTACAAGAGAGAAGATACTTGTGACCTTGATATAGAATTCTTCAAAACAATTTTGATCCAGAGAATTATTTGGTTATTGTTGCTGAGATATGAGCCACTATAGACCTTGATCATGAAATCCAATATGGTTATAATTATATTCAGCAGGAACAGGAAAGGGTCAACTCCTGTAATCAAAGATAAACCCTACGGTTATTCAATAATTAGGAAATTACTATTTTATGGTGGAAAAGCCCAAGGAGAATTCAACAACTGGAATGTAATCTAATAAACATTATGCTCATTTTAAGCATAAGGACTCATATTTACACAAACTAAACTACTGAATTCTAACTAACCACACAGTTGTGTTTTTGAATTAGCAGCTTTGTATCTTTTGTGGTGTATGAGAAGAAATGAAAACCAGGAATCTGCCACTTCTTCCCATTTCTAACAGCAGTTTTTGTTGGAGCTACCCTGTAGAAATCTCAGCAGCAAAGTGGAACAAAATGGAACATATGCATACATTTTCATGCACATTTCCCACTAGTTGCTCCCGAGTGAATCCAACCTGTCTTATTTCAAGAGGCAAATACACAAAAACGAAAGTTATAAAAGCTTTATTTAAACCACATTAAACTTAGGTCCTTCATTGTAAGCTGTTGAAAGAGAAAAATTCTATGTAATAAAGCAAAAGAAAGGGATTTAATGTTAAAAACAATATTTTCCACAGTATCTCAAACAGTATCTTATATACCCAAACTGTCCTGTCATCACCTAAGGAAATGATCAACTTGAATCTTAAACTTACGTGCTAAGATGCCAAAGCCTTTGTGGCTAAAAACAGAAAATTTATGCTTAACCATCTTTACTAGGGTGAAAAGCCACTTTCTGAAAAATTCTTATTCAGTAAATTAAATTAAATTAAAAATTTACCATTCTGTATGAATATATTAATGAGAGGGATGGCATATAAATTTAATAAATAAGTATAATATATATATATATATATATAGATTCCAATGAATGATAGTATTGCGTAAGACAATTTGAACGTATTTTTTGTAGTCTCGCCCAGCCATTTTACTCTTCAGGAATACACTTTAAAATAAAAGTCTGCAAGGAAAAAAAAAAGGTGAGGATTGTTTAGAGATAATGTTACAAATGTGTCTTTTTCGCTTCTTCTTATAAACTCAGTAGAACAGACATTTTTGAGAAAAAGTAATCCTTGAGGTCATGAGACACCTCAGAAGGTCAGATGTTCTCTTTTGTTTTTCTTTTTCCAAGCCGCTACTGGCGTAGATGGAATCGATTCTGTAGACGAAAATGCCGAGCTGCTGTCAAATCCAATGTGTTCTATTGGCTTGTGATCTTCCTGGTGTTCCTCAACACACTGGCCATTGCCTCTGAGCATTACAACCAACCTGATTGGCTCACTGAAGTCCAAGGTAAGAAGAGGCAGAGAGTTAGCATTCTGCGAACATCAACAGAATGCAGAAAGGCTACATGACGTAAAACCATTTGATTGCTTAAAGAATTAATTACAAAATATCAAAACTAATTATTAGTGCATATATATATATATATATATATATATATATATATATATATATATATATATATATATATATATATATATGTATTTTGTACCATTCCAATCTTTCATTAAATGAACTTATTTATATCCTCTCAAAATATTTGGTATTCTATTGTTTTTTGCAATTATTTACTAGACATCAAGACGAAAATAAGATCATAAAAAAGCAATATTTTCAATTCCATATTCCAAGTTCTGTGTGCATACAATTGCTTTTTTAAGCAATACCACTTTATGATTTATTTGTATAAGAGTATAAAGTTATATATAAGGCTCAGACACCGTAATAGTGAAAAGTCTTTTGGCAGTTAAATGCAATAGGATCAGCTGATTAATATTTGAGAATGAAGAAATCTTGTGGAGCTTTCAAAACTTAATATGCTTGTTGGGACTTCCAAATTCCAGAACAGAGATGGCCAAATATTTGAACCCAGGAAAATTATCTTCCATGCCATCATCGATTTATATTCCCAATTGCTAAACTAGGAAGAATATATTCTGTCTTCTAGCTCAAAAATATTAACAGAGGTGTTTGAAATATAAGAAATTGATTTTGGAAAGATGTTTATAATCAAATCGATATAATTTGGCCTAGCATGGCGTGGCATGGCATGGCACTAGGATATTTATTACTAAATAACTACATTATATCTGTTATATGAACCCTAAGTATGAAAAAATAGGCTCTGAGGTATGTTTTAGAGCATATAGGCCAGGGGTAGGCAACCTTGGCTCTTTTATGACTCGTGGACTTCAACTCCCAGAATTCCTGAGCCAGCCATGCTGAGGGGAAAGGGAGAGTTTCCAAACTGAGCCATGCTGGCTCAGGAATTCTGGGAGTTGAAGTCCACGAGTCATAAAAGAGCCAAGGTTGCCTACCCCTGATATAGGCTATTCATGTGCAGGTTAGATAGACCTCTTGGTCCTCCTTGCCTTATTTAGGTGGTATATAAATCCATGTACAGGTAGTCCTTGAATAACAACCACAGTTGGGACCAGAACTTCCATCACAGTTATTAAGGGAGTCACATCTTATTTTACAATCTTTTTGACACAGTCATTAAGAGAATCATCACAGTTGTTAGGCAAATCACACAATTGATAAGCATATCTAGCTTTTCCTATTGACTTTGTTTGTTGGAAACCTCTTGGAAGATCACAAATAGTGTTCACATGACTCTGAGATGCTGCAACTATCATAAATACATGCTAGTTGCCAAGTGCCCAAGTTTTAATCATGAGACCTTAGGGATCCTTCTATGGCTGTAAGTGCAAAGACCAGTTGTAAATCATTTTTCCCATGGGATTATAATTTCAAACAGTCATTAAATGAATGGTTATAAGTCTAGGAATACCTGTATGAAGACAATCCAAATTCAGATATGACTGTTCCTTACAGGGAAATGCAACCATTATTATTAAACCCAGCAAAATGTGTAATAATGTTGATTTAAAGTATATTTACAGTTTATTTGGGTAGAGAGCTTTTAATGAATCCAGATTAAGATGAAATTTAGCTACTTCTATGTTACAGAAATGAGATAAAAGCAGAGAACTTACGCCAAGTTGAGCATTCAGTTTTGATACTAGATTTGCCTTCATATTTGAAATTCCTCCTTCAGAATTGCAAATTGCAAAAATGTAAAATCACAAATAGAGCTTCCTCTAGATTGCTGAAGAAGCCCGTTCAAAGCAGAAAAATCTAATTTGGCATTTAACAGTCAAAGTAAAGTTTCATAGGTTTGTTCTTAGCGTCTTTTGGTTGAACTAGTCTTTCAGTGCTACTATAATGATCATTATTGTTTATTTATTTTTTTATGAGACACTGCGAATAAGGTATTGCTGGCTTTGTTCACGGCTGAGATGCTGCTGAAGATGTACAGTCTGGGTCTTCAAGCTTACTTTGTGTCCCTCTTCAACCGCTTTGATTGTTTCATCGTGTGTGGTGGAATTCTGGAAACCATCTTAGTGGAAACAAAAATCATGTCCCCACTTGGCATCTCCGTGCTGAGATGTGTACGACTTCTGAGAATCTTTAAAATCACAAGGTATATGACTTTTTTTTAATGTTAAGTGGGATTGACAGAGGGAGAATGAAAGTTCACCATTTTCTACTTGGAAATGTTATTCTAAACAAATAAGGTAAATTACAAATCTGTCACTCCTTTGCATAAATCATTCTTTCCCCTGAAACTCATTTCTTCTTCTATGACTAGTGCTGTGGAAACAACATGTTTTAAATTATATATGTTCTTTCGTTACTTATTTTTTTTCACTGTGTTGTAAGGTGCTGTGCAAATAAGATAGGGCAGGGCAGCGGACAAGAAATAATAGATTTAAAATACACTAACAAATAAAATCACAATCCAATATAAATATGGCATAAAACCAGTAAGAACTTCATAAAGCTAGGACTGTTTGAAAGGTAAAATAAAGTAGACTTTGTCAGCCATTGACATGACAAAGCAAGAATAGACTCACTTGACAATGAGAAGGGTAGCATATAAATTAAATAAATAAAAACAATCACTCGATGAGGTAAAGTTTAACCCAACTCTATTAGCCTTCCAAAAATCCTTTAAAACATGATTTTTCCAGCAACCTAGGGGATACTGTGGAAATAGGAAAGTTATGAGTTAGTTACAGGATGTTAATCCATTCTCCCATGGCCTTATTTGTATTTATTTTTAATAAATGGAAGTCATCCAACTGGTCCTCATTTATGGCTGTCAAAACTTCCTCATATTCACATAATCAAAAATTGGACACTTCGCAATTGGTGAGCATTTACAAACATTGCAGCATCCCACAATCACATGATCACCATTTTTGTGCTTCCCAACCAGCTTGCGACAAGCAGAGTCATTGGAGAAACTAGCAGTAAAAAATCACAAGTTGTAAAGCTAGTCCCAATATTGATTGTTAAGCAAGGACTACAAAATAATTCAGATACCTTGATCCCAAGCTAGATAAACCCTGAAAAATTGTATTGGGCCTGGAAATAGCCTAGTCAGGACATGGTAAAGCAAGATATTTCTACTCAGCTGGATAAAGAGTTCTAAGACATACATGATGTTTATTGTTCTAAACTAACTAAATCCTGTTTCTCAAAAGACTTCTATCTTGTGTAAAGGTTGTTGTATACCTTTATTTTTAAAAGACTTTAGAAGAGAGTATTAGCTACAATACCTATAGCAATCTGAACTCTTGGAGGTACTAAAGGGATTAATTAATCAAATATGTAGAAAAAATTAAATTTACCACATTTGATACTATTGACTTTGCCAAAAAATCACTTTGCTTAGAACCTGAAACTGACTCTCCTCAGTTGTTTCTGTATGTCCCACAAGGTACAACAGGATGGGCACACTCCAGGTCTCCTCTTTTTAAAGGTGTGGCCTTGAAAAATAGGCAGAAGTTCCACTATCAAGTGAACAATCAGAGGGTCTTGAACTTGGGTCAAGAAAATAATTTAGACAAGCTGCTCCCTACTTTATACGAAGATAAAATGAAGGAAGTAGAAGAACAGTCATACTTCCAAGGTTCTGTTACTATAGTTACTTTGGACCTACATGACACTGGTTTCTTAGTCTACATTACCATGATGGCCTGACGTAAGACCAGAATCACCTCAAACAAACGAACTACCTAGTCACACGGTGATATTGTTAACACTATTGATTAGCTATAGATGGTCTCAATTGCCCCACAGAATTCCTGAATTCAGATCATATACCTAGAAACAAAACAAAAAAATTGAAAGAGAACTTGTGCTCTATTTCCTCTTTCTCCTTCCTTGCAAATGCTCATTCTCTCTCCTCTACATCCAGAGGCCTTTATTTTTATTTTATTTATTTATTTGTCCAATTTATATAGCCGCCCATCTTGCCAAAGAAGCTATTCTGGGTGGCATAATTGAAACGAAGGCTGTTATTCCTGATTATTTATTAACTGTGGGTATATTGCAACCATATAACACTGGGTCTCTAGTGGCACACAAAATAACTACATTAAAATGGAGCATAAAGTTATGTTTCTAATAGAACTAAATCCAGTAAATCACAGACTGTAAAAATAGAAAACCCATTGAGAATTACATGATCACAAATGGTTTTAGAGTGTGCAAACTTAGTTATCATAAAGTAATGTTCTGCATTTCTTCTTTATCATCATAATTGGTAAAATGGCTGATTGCAAAAGGCAGATACATAATTTCAACATAAGAGCTTTTGGTTTACAGAAAGCAAATAATACAATAACAGGGAAAGGGGCAGAAACCTAATATTAAGAGGTTTTATAAAGAACTGAGTTATAATAGACTAAGTCTTTTGATTTGGGTTTAATCAAATATGGAATTAGTTTTTCTTTTCATTATAATTCCCCCTCTGACTACTTGGAATTATTTGTGTGGCCAAATCTGGTTTCTATCATTAGCAATGTTATATATGTTTTGCATTATAGTATTGACAGCACAGAGGGTGTATATGGGGGCATACTACAATTTTTATGTTCCACTTTACCTCATTGCATTCTCTCTGTGAAAGTGTATATATTGCTATTCTCTCAAAGCAAAATCTGTAGTAAGGCCTCTTTCATCTCTGAGTTGATCACTGAGAGCTGACCTGATGTATATCAACAAGATTTGATTGGGCTTAGAGGGAAGTGTTCCTCCCGTGGAGGTGTGCCCACCTGGGTTTCAGGTGTGCCATCAATCAAGAACCCAGGTCAGGGGTAGGGTGTGGCTATGTCACCTAAATTTCTCTGTTGACATCCAGAGCACTGGTCCACAGGCCCTGTTAGTTTCAGTTCTAGGAGTCAGTTTGGATGGTTGGATTTGTATCAGCTTCCCTACTGCATGTTAACATCTCTTCTTGGTCTCCTTGATTGTCTGGCCAGGTTAGCAATGAAGTTCCCAGCTCATGATATTGGGAGACATTTTAGGAATAGTGACTGAGAAGATGGTTGTGCAGCAACTCCAAAGAACTCTGGATGTGGCTAATTATCAGGACCGCTTCCAATCGTGTTTCAAACATTGACATAGGCTTGAAACAGCATTGATTGCATTAGTGGATGACCTTTGACAGGAGTGGGATGGGGATAGTGTATCCATGCTTGGTCCCCGTAGATTTTTCACCAGCTTTTGTAATGAAAAGAATAATGTTGAGAAACAGGAGGAAAAGCTGCAACCAGGGCAAGGGTCTGATAAAACTGAATCTAGGCCAGAACTGTAACCCGAGTAAGCCTCTCAGACAAGGCCCCTACCAAATTGTCATGAAGATAAAGGAAGAAGCACACTCAGGCTTCAGATTCGGTTACTATGTTACTATGTAACAATGATATGGGTGGCATATAAATTAAATAAACAAATAATTTTATAATAAAAGCGTTAGAAGGCATGACTTTGGTTTCCTATGGTAGTTGATCTATCTTGAAGGGCTGACAGTTGTTAACACTGTTGATCATGAAATCCTTCTGGACTCATTCAGGGGTTGGGAATGGGTGGCCCTATTTCACATTGGTTCTATTCCTTCCTTTGGGAATAGCTCCAGGTAGTGTTGATGGGTGGAGGAGAAGTCTTATCCATGGCCCCTGCTTTATGAGATGATGCAGGGTTCAACACACCCTCCACTCCTTTTTAACCTATATATGAAGCTGCTGGGTGAGGTCCTTCAACAGCATAGGATCTCCACGGTTGACCACCCAAGTGACATGAGATTCTGTCTTGATAACTGGAGTTTATGGAGACATAATAGCTTTAGGATCTAGGTCCCCCCTGATTCCACAGATTCTCTATCATTTGTTCTGTATGAGATTACTTCCCTGGAAATTCCTACAAATTATTGCATACTGATATATGCCCTAAGTGTTCAAGGTGCAGAAAAGTCTGTGTTTTATTTCTGTGGTCATAAAAATACTAATTTTCTATATATATCTCATTTGGGGGGGGGGAATATCTGAATTATTAATTTCTTGGTTCATTCTTTGGAAAAGACATGTTCATGGGTGTCGGATAGTTTTCCCCAAAAAAATACCTAGCACAGACAAGAAACACCTGCTTTTCTTTTGTTTGGCTCCTCAGGTACTGGAATTCCTTGAGTAATTTGGTGGCTTCCTTGCTCAACTCAGTGCGCTCCATTGCCTCCCTGCTGCTGCTCCTCTTCCTCTTCATCATCATCTTCTCCCTCCTAGGAATGCAGCTCTTTGGGGGCAAGTTTAACTTTGATGAGATGCAGACCAGGAGAAGCACCTTTGACAACTTTCCTCAGTCTTTGCTCACTGTGTTTCAGGTACAGTTTTCTTTCAGCCTATTTTTTTTAAAAAAATAATGCACTCTTAAGAAGCAATGTAACAGGATTCTTATGTCTAGGCCAGTGGTTCTCAACCTTTTTAATGCCGCGACCCCCAACTGGTCGTAGGTCGAGGACTACTCAACCGGTCGTAAGTCGAGGACTACTCAATTGATGAGGCACCATTTATAGAATGGGACTTTTGGCAGGCTCAGCAGGGCAGAGACAGCCTGGACAATTCCTATTGGCTTTTGAAAGCCAATAGAATTAGACTCTAGAGTAGCACAGCTAAGGAAAAGGGGGAAAAAATGGCAGACAGCGTTGTTTGGTGACCCCCGTGAAATGGTCGTTCGACCCCAAATGGGGTCCCGAGCCACAGGTTGAGAACCACTGGTCTAGGCCAACCTATATTAAACTACATGCTTTCAAAAATATAATTAACATTCATTAATTGCTAGGACATTTTTAAAAAAATCTTGCAATATTTTCTAAAGCAGGCAAAAATAGGGCAAGGTGAATAATTATCTGAATAGGAAATATCGAATGTATAAGTGCAAGATTGGGGAGATCTAGGCCGGCAGTAGTTATTTATAAGAAAGATCTAGAGCAGTGGTTCTCAACCTATGGGTCGCGACCCCATTTGGGGTCGATCGACCATTTTTCGGGGGTCGCCAAAGGTGGCGATCCGCCATTTTCCGCGGCGCCATGCACGCGCGCCGCGCATGGGGGTGCCGCCGCGCATGCGCGTCACGCGTGGGGGCGGTGCCGGGCACGCGCGCCGCGCATGGGGGCGCCGGGCACGCACGTCGCACATGGGGGCATCGCGCATGCGCATCGCACATGGGGGCGTCACACATGCGCGCCACACATTGGGGCCCCGCCCCCATGCGTGCGGCGCCACGCATGCGCAGAACATTTGTGTGACGGGGGAGAAGCACTGATCTAGAGGTTACAATGAATTGGTATAAACACATGGTATGAGACAGCAGAACAAAAAAAACAAAAAGTCAATGCTTTCGGGGTGCTGAAATAACAGAAGCATTGTATCTACACTATAGGTCATGTGAGGCATGAGTCCCAATGCACTCTTCACTGACTAAAATTAAAGGAAAGGAGATCCATGCTGACATAATTTCCTAACTGTAAGAGATACTAAACAATAATGTGTCTAGATTTGTGCTATATCTCCCTTGTTTGAGATTTTTCCAGTGGAAGTTGGATGACTATAATCAGTTCAGTTTATGGACTGAGCAGAAGGATGGACTGGATAATCTATGAAGTCCATCAGGTGGATATAGACTAAGATTCTACTCTGCAGCCTGAGATGGTGAATATGTAACCCTACCCACGTGTGCAAAGTATCTTTCCATTTGTATCTTGAAATTCAAATGGAGATCTGAGTCAGTACCTTGGATGTTTACTGATCAGGCAGGTTTCTTCAAGATAGAACAGGATGGTGTTATTTCTTGTAACAGGCTTTTTTTGCAGGTGTTCTGCATGCTGTCTAACTATATATCCCCCCATTGGTGGGAATGTGTCATTTAGATCCTGACTGGGGAGGACTGGAATTCAGTGATGTATGATGGAATCATGGCTTATGGCGGCCCCTCTTTTCCAGGAATGTTGGTCTGTATTTACTTCATCATCCTCTTCATCTGTGGAAACTGTATCCTTGAGTGTTTCTCTGTTGCAAATACTTTGAGTTAACTATAGGGCAGCATCAGCAACTGATATGGTTAAGCACCAGTTGGGACTCATATATGATAAAATGGTCTTTACTTACTGAGACTACATCCTGCCGCTCTTCTTCCTCTCTGCCATCTCCTGCTAGGTCAACTATTGCTCCTTCTGGATTAGGGAATTAAAAACATCAGTGCTTAGCAAACAGAAAGAAAAAGAGCCACTATGTTGGATTTCAACTTGAACCCATCTCAGAGTAGAGAGGGTTGGTTTGCTGGTTTGTTCTTCTTCAAGTGGGAAAATGGATTGAAAATCACAAAAGTTCCTTGGATAAATTTCATTTGTTGGGCATAGATTTTCAAGGGCCACAGCCCACCATCATACCCATAGGGTCATAAGAAGGAACTTAGTATTGAATCAGACCATTGGTCCATCCTAGTTTACTGTTTCTCCAGGATTTCAGGCAAGAGAATATTCATTTTTTCTTTAGACAATAGGAGCTAGAACAGGGACCCTTTGCATATGTTTTATTAATCTTGTTCTGAGTCAGGTTTATTGCATTTAATCATTCTAGCTCATATTCCTATTAATATGCAATTTTAAAAAATATGCACAATAATCCATATTTTAATGGCTTTTAAATGTGCTTTGGGATATACTTTCTTATTATATCCATCTCTATTCACACATACATACTTTTTAAAACACATGATCTTAAAATAAGCATTTGGCATGTGTATGAATTTGACCTGATCACCTGATAGCTCCTTCCTACTAGAATGGAGCTATGATTCCATTTTTCCCATATGCTATGATTAAGTCAGTCCAGACTAGGTGAAGCTAACTTTGTGATTAAGGCTATGAAGTTAATTGATTAATTTACTTTTAACAATGCACTTTGCTTCAGTTTCCTGCTCAAGATCTTGAAACTCCCAGATGCTATTTCCATTCCTAGCAAAACTGCTTCCACTATTAACAGCTGCCTATCCCTTCATCAGACAGAAGTTTTATGCTTTTAATAATAATAATAGAAATAATAATAATAATAGTAGTAAAGTTGGAAGGGACCTTGGAGGTCATCTAGTCCAACCCCCTGCTCGGGCAGGAAACCCTACACCATTTCGGACAAGTGGCTGTCCAGTCTCTTCTTAAAAACTTCCAGTGTTGGAGCATTTACTGCTTCTGGAGGCAAGCTGTTCCACTGATTAATTGTTCTCACTGTCAGGAAGTTTCTCCTTAGTTCTAGGTTGCTTCTCTCCTTGATTAGTTTCCACCCGTTGCTTCTTGTCCTGCCTTCAGGTGCTTTGGAAAATAGCTTAATTCCCTCTTCTTTATGGCAGCCCCTGAGATATTGGAATACTGCTATCATGTCCCCCCTTGTCCTTCTCTTCGTTAAACTAGACATACCCAATTCTCGCAACCGTTCCTTATATGTTTTAGCCTCCAGTCCCCTAATCATCTTTGTTGCTCTTCTCTGTACTCTTTCTAGAGTCTCAACATCTTTTTTACATCGTGGTGACCAAAACTGGATGCAGTATTCCAAGTGTGGCCTTACCAAGGCATTGAAGAGTGGTATTAATACTTCACGTGATCTTGATTCTATCCCTCTGTTAATGCAGCCTAGCACTGTGTTGGCCTTTTTGGCAGCTGCAGCACACTGCTGGCTCATATTTAAGTGATTGTCTACTAGGACTCCGAGGTCCCTCTCACAGTTACTACTATTGAGCATGGTGCCACCTATGCTGTACTTGTGCATTTGGTTTTTCTTGCCTAAATGTAGAACCTTGCTTTTTTCACCATTGAATTTCATTTTGTTAGTTAGTGCCCAGTGTTCAAGTCTGTCCAGATCCTTCTGTATCTTAAGCCTGTCTTCTGGAGTGTTGGCTATTCCTGCCAGCTTGGTGTCATCTGCAAATTTGATGAGTTCCCCATCTATCCCTTCATCCAAATCGTTGATGAAGATGTTGAAGAGTACTGGGCCCAGAACAGAGCCCTGGGGCACCCCACTACACACTTCCCTCCATATAGATGCAGTTCCATTGAGGACCACTCGCTGAGTACGGCCGGTCAGCCAGCTACGGATCCATCTGGTGGTGGTTCTGTCTACCCCACATTTTTCTATCTTGTCAAGTAGTAGGTTGTGATCTACTTTATCAAATGCCTTACTGAAGTCCAAGTAAATTATGTCCACAGCATTCCTCTGATCCACTAATTTTGTCACTTGGTCAAAGAATGCAATAAGATTTGTCTGGCATGATCTATTTTTGACAAACCCATGTTGGCTTTTAGTAATGACTTTGTTTGCCTCTAGGTGTTCGTTGATTCGTTGTTTGATTATCTTTTCCAGGATCTTCCCAGGTATTGAGGTCAGGCTGATAGGTCTGTAATTTCCTGGATCCATTTTTTTTCCTTTTTTGAGGATGGGAACTACATCAGCTCTTTTCCAGTCCTCTGGTAGTTCCCCTGTGTTCCAGGATCTTTGAAAAATATAGTTCAGTGGCTCCGATATCACATCTGCCAGTTCCTTGAGAACTCTGGAGTGTAATCCATCTGGTCCTGGTGATTTGAACTCATCTAGGCTGGACAGGTGCTCACTTACCATTTTCTTGCCTATCTTAACTTGTGTTTCTGTTTTGTTTTTTTATGGCACTATTTTTGATAGGTTGGTCTGTTTTTTCCCTTTGTGTAAAGACAGATGCAAAAATGAGTTAAATAGTTCTGCTTTCTCCCTGTTGCTTGTCACCTTCTTGCCACTTCCACCCACTAATGGACCAATCATTTCCTTCACTTTTTTCTTGTTTTTTACATGTTGAAAGAAGCTTTTTTTGTTAATGGAAAGGCAGACAATTCTGCATTACAGGATCCAATGAAACACAGGTAGTTTGAAACAGGACTGGGCGTATCTTAATCCTACTCACAGTATTATGTAAGGACCACATTTTGAGTACATTTTTAAATAATATATTTCAAAACTATAAAAATACCAGGAGCCAATGGTAATTCTATTGATTTCAAAAATGGTCTATTCAACGAGAATCACTATGGAATATTGTAAAGTCCTATTGTATTCCTCAATCTTTTATCAATATCTTTAAGAATCTGTATTATAACTCTAGCTGCTGTGTACGAATGGAATCTGGCAACACAGACTTCTTTAACATTGATACAGGAGTAAAACAGAGATATATGCTATCGCCATTCTTGCTTCTCCTCTCCGTGGACTTTGGTATACATAGAGCGATAGATAACCCTAGTTTTGTCATCCGATGGACAATACCTCATTTAATAGATTTAGATTTTGCGGATGACATTGTATTGCTTGGTGAAAAAAGGGGTGCTTGCAAGAAATGACCATCAGTTTAGGTAATGAGGCCAAAAAGATTGTCTTACGTATAAATTTTGAGAAGACCCTGTTTATGCAAGTTGGAAGTCCTCAGGGTAATATGCCTATAACAGTCTATGGCCAGGCTATAGAACAAGTCCAACAATTTACTTATCTTGGTAACATGTCTATCGATGGAGGTACAGATAAGGACATTTACTATCAAATTGGAATGGCAGCTGCCACTCTTAAAGAGTGTTGTCATATCAACTGCAATATATGCTTGTGAAACATGGAAGTGTACAACCAAGATGATTAAACAATTAAATGTTTTGCAACAACGCAGCTTGAGAAAAAAATACTCCATGTTTCACATCGTGACCACATCACTAATGAGAAGGTACTACAAAGATCAGATTTAGAACACCTATTGAGAACTGTCAATGAATGTCGAATGTGGCTTGTTGACCATATATTACTTATTCCAAAATTGCACTATGTTGGATGTCTCCTGGAGGGAAGAGGAAACAAGGTCAGACTTGGAAAAGTTGGCACCAAACACTAGAGAAAGATCTTAACATTATTAATATCTCTTGAGATGAATCAGAAGATGCTGCAAATGATTGAAACTGTTGGCAGTCACTTGCTACCCAATGTGTTCTGCACAGGACCTAATGTATGTGTGTGTGTGTGTGTGTGTGTGTGTGTGTGTAAAACTGTAGAGAAGGCATATTCCTAGTACTGACTATCTGAAATTAGCCAAATGCCCTCTCTTTTTTCAGTTGTGTAATCTTCATGTGTGGTAATTTGCATCTAAGGATGCTAACTTTTACTTAAACGTTTATTCTTGATGAACATGTTTTTATGCGTTGGGAAACACTGCTGTGTCTGCTATTCTTGGTGAAGTATGTGAAATAATGTATGCTTTCACCCTTAAAATTATTAATATGAATTTGAATGTTTATCTTTACGTTGCATATCACGTGTGGGACATTTTAAATACCATTTCACAGGATTGTGCTTCATAGATATTCACCGATATTTTCTTTAAACAATATGCAAATAGATATCTTGCTGAATGTCTTCTTGGCCATTGCTGTTGACAATCTTGCTGATGCTGAAAGCCTGACATCTGCTCAAAAGGAGGAGGAAGAAGAAAAAGAAAGGAAAAAACTAGCAAGGTAAACTTTTGTCTATTTTGGCATTAAAAATATTAGCATTTTTTTTTTTGCTAGACAGTAAAAACATGTCCAGAACAAGAGCTTCTTATGCTTTGTTAGGTACAATATTTCTACCTAAGGTTTTTTGCACTTGTGTCAAAAGCACCGAGGCGCTTCCTGGATGAAAAGATTAGCCAGTGACATCACTGTTGCCTGGAGGATGCCCAATTGGGGGCTCCTTTCAGGTCCCCAGCAGGAGCTGGAGCGAAGGACAAGAGCTCACTCTGCCCCAAGCAGCACTCAAGTCACAAACACAGACTTGCTAACCTCCAACCCAGCGTCCTAACCATGAGAGCCACACTGCTCCTTCTAGCTAAAGTTATACAGTAAAAGATATTCTGGAGAAAACGAAGCATCTTTCACCAGCAGAATTCGGTTTATTCCAGGAAGCCAGCCATACAAATTGCAAAATATCTGCTTAAGTACTTCATCTTTCAATGTCACTACATGGGAGCTCTTTTGGCTTGAACAATAAAGATCAGAAAAGGTGAATACATACATACCCCGGGTGTCTGTTGAAATTTTAAGTAGCTTCTGCACAGCCTGAAGCAGGGTTGGCAGCTTGGAAACTAAAATGTTAAAATAAAAATGGAGGAAAAAGCTTATTTTCTCTGCAGGCTGAAGATCCTGTACAAATAATTTGGGAAAAAGGTAGCTCCCAAACAAAGTACAACGGCTAGGACAATGATGGCAAACTATGACATGCATATAAAGGTGACACGCCACAATATTTTGGGTGAAATGCTAGTACTCACCCACACATGAGAACTATTCTCCAAAGCACATTCATTCTTGTGTGATTTTTTAGAGGTTGTGGAGGCTATGTGAGAATGGAGGGTGCTCTTGCATGGCCTCTGGAAGTTATACAAGAGAGCCCTACTCCTTCACAGCCTCTAGAGTCTCTGAAAATCATACAAGAATGAGGCATCCTTTCGTGAGGTTTTCGGAGATCGTAAAGGAACATTCTCCAAATGGTTCAAGCAACAGCAGCTTTGGGTAGGCTGCCGAGGCCTCTCAAGAGAAAGAGAACCCAGCCTGAAAGTAAGTGGTACATGGCAGATCCTGGGGAGTGGTGGGCCACAGGTGAAATTGCTCCATTCCCTAAAACTCACCGAGTGGCCTTTTGAATGGCACTGGTGGCATTAGGACTGAAATCCTCAACTTCAGGGCCAGCCTCAACGCTTCTGCTGAGTGCCACTGTTCAGTATGGCCTAGATTTGGTGGGGGGAGAGAGAATTTTCCATCTTTTCTTTGGGGTGAGTGAGTGACATACTAGCAGAATCAAGTTAGGCATTTTCCGAATTTTGGACATTTTGTTCACTATCATTTAATTAGGACCACTGGTTGGAAAGCAGATGATGAACTTTCCTTCTGTTAACTTGCTAAATCATTTCAGGATGCAAGGTGTTTTGAAAGTCTGGTAGGCACATGATTATTAATATTACTTGTTTCTAAGAGGAGCAAATGTTTATGAAGGAAATATTCTTGGGCTTGTCTGTTGGGCTATTCACTACTCAAGGAAGTCAGTACTGGCAATTCATTAGCTGATTTTTTTTTCCTGTCTGCTAAATTGGTAGGACTGCCAGTCCTGAGAAGAAACAGGAGCCCGAGAAGCCAGCTATGGAGGGAGAGACAAAGGAGGAAAAAATTGAGCTGAAATCAATTACAGCTGATGGAGAATCTCCACCTTCTAATAAGGTTTGCTGCTTTCCAATATCCACCTTGCTTTGAGATGACTGTTTTTATGAATTAATGAATATGCACAACTAAAGAATGGCTGTTTTCTCTTTTGCTCAGAGCAACACAGATGAATATCAGCCAAATGAAATTGAAGAAAAAAATCCCTATCCTACTGCAGAGACACCAGGTAATTCACTGTCTTGTCCACATTCTGGAATGACCAGACACATCCTCAGGGAAGGATAAAATAAAATAACACAAAATGGCAACTGAAAGTATGTGACTGAATCTCAGTCATTTTTTTCCCCATGCATTGCTACGCAGGTATAACATATAACTAATGGCTTGTCCTGTCAGTGTCAGTGTGAGTGACCTTGGTGGTTCCTTGATTAGGCTATTGTTTACTATTAGCTTGTTTGTCTATGTTCCTTGACTGAATAATTGATTGCCTTTACTGTTTTTACAACAACTCAAGGCAATGAACATATCTAATATACCTTCTTCCTCCTGTTTTCCCCACAACAAAAACCCTATGAGGTGGGTTGAGCTAAGGCAGGATTTGAACTCAGTCTCCCATTTTCTTACCTTAACCACTAGACCAAACTGGTAACCAATGCAGCTCTTGCAGCAAAGGTGTAACATGTGCTGCACAGAAACACAAGTAACTGCTTGCTCTGCTGCATTTTGGTCATGAAATTGCAAGATGCTGCAATCTTTGTAAATGTAAGCCTGTTGCCAAGGGCCTGAATTGCAATCACATGACTGCAAGGGTGGTGTAACAGTTGCACCTTCAAGGACGAGTCATAAATCTTTTTTTTTGAGCCATCGTAACTTCAAACCATCGTTAAATGAACCATAGTAAGTCAAGAACTACCTGTATGGATTTCAGAAGCAGATATAGGTGATTGCTCATACAGATTTGAAAATAGGAGTAAGAATATAGAGACATATCCCTTTGATATATATATTAAAGATTCCAGTTTACAACTACTTAGCCTTTTTCTAGAGGTCTAATTCCTTGTACTTCTTCAACCACTTCCCAGGTTGAGGCATATTTCTTGCTTAAGCCAGGATGGAACTGGAGAGAGATAGTGCCTCTCTTCTTGCTCCTGATTGATTGCCCAGTTCCCTGGCTTTGCCATTCTGTGCCCTAGATTGGCAGATTTAATTTTTAATGATTAATTATTTGTATCTGAACTTCTGGAGTATGTTCTCCCCATTCACTACATACAATGTTAAAAAGTTCCCTTGTTTGTTGAAATTTGACGTTTTAAAAAATGCTTGATTTTGAGTTAAATATTTCAACTAATGGTTGATTTTATGTAATGTTTGCAGTCTACTGTGACAGGTACATTAGCTGCTATGAGAAATAATTGAGTTGATTAACTGTATTTTAGAAATAAATAAGTGTGCAAGTTGCATTTAATTCTGGATGTGGGTGTGTGTTTGCATTATTTGGAACCATGTGAATAGATATGAGACTGTTCAGTACGTCCAATAGTCTGGTAAGATTTACTTAGCCTTGCACTGTTTGGAAAGTCCAGCACAGATCCTCATCCATTCGAATAAGAGCTCTCCATTGGTCTCTCTCTCTATTTTCTTGGTCTGACCTGATCTGCCAAGAAATTAATTTCCACATACAAAGAATTGCCAAGGCTTTAGATAGAGTTTGATTTTTGCATCACTCTCCTTTTCTGCTAAGAGTTACACAGTTGTTCAGGATCAAATATACATAAATAAAGGACATACTCCCTCAGACTCCAATCTTAAACACAGAAGTTAGGATATTTCATTCTGTCAAAGTTGAAACGTAGCCTCCTCTGACCCCTCAAATTATGAGGGAAAGACCCTTCATAATTTTGGCAGGAGAATTTCAAATCAGCCCAAGATGGAGAACAAATCATTCTTCTCTGACCGTCTTCAACTTCCAGTATTCCTAGCCAACATGTCCCAAGCATGCTTTTCAAAAGGCAACTGGACTTTCTTGGTTTTTTTCCCTTGAAAACATTTCGCTTTTCATCTTTTTTCAGTTCTTGGATGAGAAGTGAAACATTTTCAAGGAAAAAAAATGAAGAAAGTCCAGTTGCCTTTTGAAAAACACCTTAGGGATAACCATGACCTGATAGACCAGTGGTTCTCAATCTGTGGGTCGGGACCCCATTTGGGGTCGAACGACCATTTCACGGGGGTCGCCAAACAACACAGTCCGCCATTTTTTTCCCCTTTTCCTTAGCTGTGCTACTCCCTTTTATTCTATTGGCTTTTGAAAGCAATAGAATAGACTCTCTTGAATAGAGTCTAATTCTATTGGCTTTCAAAAGCCAATAGGAATTGTCCAGGCTGTCTCTGCCCTGCTGAGCCCGCCAAAAGTCCCATTATGCAAATGGTGCTGCACCAGTTGAGTAGTCCTCGACTTACGACCGGTTGAGTAGTCCTCGACTTATGACTGGTTGGGGGTCGCGGCATTAAAAAGGTTGAGAACCACTGTGATAGAGAATGATAGAGACTCCATGGACATCTAGCCAACATGGTTCACACTGGCCAGAATGCTGGAGTGGTACTTGTTTTATACAAGTAGATATGTTACTAGTGAGTCCCAGTTTGGGGTAGGTTGGAGTACTTTTTATTTTTAAGACTGAGGTACAATCAGATATGTCTTTATGTGGTAAATCCATAGGCTATTTGTGATGCATAATTCTAAAAATGAAGATCCTTACCTTTTAGGAGAGGAGGATGAAGAGGAACCGGAGATGCCTGTTGGGCCTCGTCCTCGCCCTATGTCTGAACTGCACCTTAAGGAGAAAGCAGTGCCAATGCCGGAAGCCAGTGCTTTTTTCGTTTTCAGTCCCAGCAACAAGTATGTTGTTTCTTGTATGACCTTGTGCCACCATGAAAACAGTCTCAGTATACTTTTAAGAAAGTGTGGGATGTTGCATGTTTTGTAGTCTGTCTAGTTGAATGCAGGTCTTAATCAGTGGATAATTCTATGATATAGGAAAATGTATACTATTGTCACTCATCTTCAAGAACGTTGTGAGTCCTCACCTGCCAGCAGATCCGGCAGCTGAGTCAGATGAGTCGGATGAGGGAGAAAGGTTGCCTGGGGTCACATCGGAGTCTATGGAAGGCTCTGAGGAGCACGAAGACTCAGAGCTAGATGTGATACTGGGCCCATCTACTCACGCTCAGGCAGAGAGAGACAGCTGGGTTGGGGGCCTGAATTGAGCGAAGATGAGGAGCAGCTAGGCCTGTTCCAGATGCACAGATGCACAGAGAGGAAAGGCGTGCAAGGACAGCGGAGGGCGGTGGGGCAGCTCTCCAGGAAAAGTAAAAGACTCTAAGAAGCCACGCCCTGGCTGGGCTATAAAGAGGAGAGGCATGGGAGGGGATGGTTGCCAAAGGCAACCGTTCATGCTACGGCTTTGTGCTTCTGTCATTGGATTTCTAGCCTCAGGATTCTTGGATATTTAACCAGGTTTGTCGGATTTCTGTGCGTTTGAGTGATTTAAACGAGCATTCCAGCTGAGAACTCAGAGACTGAATCTTGTTTGTTTCAACAGCTAAAGGATTAATTGGGGTTTTCTTCCACAAAAGCTGTGTCAAAATAAAAGGGGTTTATCTTACCAAGTCGTGCCTTGTTCCATGTAAAGGGGTTTTTCTTTGCGTGTAAGCGGTTGAGTAGTATTTTGCGGAGGCTGGGACAGAACAGAGACAAATACATTCTAGATGGAAAATGGAAAAGACAAACAGTCAAGATAGAATTGCTCTGTGGAAAAAAAAAGCTTCCTGGTTTATATCAGGGATGGATGAATAAGAGCTCTGCTCTTATCTAGCCCAAGAGCCAACTTGCTGCCATGAAAGCCCCTACTGGTCTTGATGACATAAAGGGAAGGGCAGCCTTGTCTCCAAGCCATAAAAATCTTCCTTGTATTCTGAGCAGAATGGTTTGATATCGATAGGAGAAGAGTAGAAATAAGAGATGGGGGGAATTAGAAGCAAAATTTAAATGTTTTTGCAGTTATCATTCTACATTCATTCACAACAAAATCTTAAGATTATTATCACAATCGACTACCTTTACCATCCTAGGGAATTACAAAACTCCTCACTCTATTGAAAAAGCAGTACAGTATTCTCTCTCTCCCCTCCCCCATAACAGTTTTATTTTCTTTTAAAAAATAACTGTATTGATTTATTTGAAGCATTTTACTTGGATCTGCAGTTAGACACCAAATATGTTTAAAACCACGGATATCATAAGTCACAATCATTATTTCATCTTTTATTCCCTGCAGAAGGTTGAAAGTCATAAGTAGAAATCTATTTGTGATTTATTTGTCCTGATACTTTCAGTGAAGTGGCAAATCTGTGACCGGGCTGTTTCACTTCAGATTGCTGATGGTCATAATAGTCAAATGTTCTGTTTCTGTTGGCATCTGACATACAAATAAGCTTAAGAAATTGAGGGGTTGAAATAAAACAATGATCTCTATAATATCTGATGAATAAGGCTATGTCTCTCTCTCTCTCTCTCTCTCTCTCTCTCTCTCTCTCTCTCTCTCTCTCTCTCTCTTTCTTTTCAGATTTCGAGTCCACTGCCATCGCATCGTTAATAATAACATTTTCACCAACCTGATCCTCTTTTTCATCTTGCTCAGCAGCATCTCTTTGGCAGCTGAGGACCCAGTTCGGCATTACTCAGTTAGAAATCAAGTATGCCTTCCACCTTTTCACTTCTCTGCAGATTATTCAGAATGAGGTTCAGAAGCCAGATAACTAAGGCTTACCAAGTTCTAAATTAATGCCTAAAGAGAAAGAGCTACCAGTCAGTACATGTAGTCCTCGACTAGCAACAGTGAATTTATTGACCTTTCGAAGTTACAACAGCACTGAAAAAAGTGACTTATAACCATTTTTCATACTTACAACCACTGCAGCATCCCCATGGTCATGTGATGAAAATTCAAATGCTTGGCTGCTGATTCATATTTGTGACCTTCTGACACGCAAAGTTAATGGGGAAACCTTAACAACTGGGTTACTTAACAACTGCAGTAATTCACTTAACAACTGTGGCAAGAAAGGTCGTAAACTGGGACAAAATTCACAAATGTCTTGCTTAGTAACAGAAATTTTGGGGTCAATTGCGGTTGTAAGTCGAGGACTACCTTATAACACACACACATAATTTTATGTAAATTAATCTATAATTCATATTAAATTAAGCAGTTACGTTTTTATTTGCTTCTGGAACTAAGAGTTTTACTTCAGTAAAGTTTATGTGGTCAAATATATATAAATAAACAAATGAGAGCAATAAAGTGGGGTTTCTGGGGAATTAATCTCAAAAATACTGCTAAGGATCCATTACCCTTCCAATAAAACTATATTTGCAGTGGATCCCTAGAAAAAAGAATGGTCATTACATCTGTCACTTAAACATACCTACCAAGGGTAACTCTCACTGAAATCAATGAGATTAACTTCAAGTAGACTTACATATGATTACATTGCAAACTATTTTTCAGTCCTTCCATAGGAAGCTTTCTTGTACTGAAACAGATCACCAGTGTTTTTACCTAAAAATTTCACTCTGTAAATTGTCAAGCAGATGTTTTTACAGCCAGATTTAGAAATGCCAAGGATTGAATTAGGGCATCCTGTATGTTAAACATATTATCCTGCATTCAGATGTGATTTAATATAGATGTGCTTGAACAGATGTTATCTAAATCATGTTTCTGAATCTTATTAATTTTAAGATATGTGGAGTTCAGTTCCCTGGCTGGAAATGTTGGGAGTTGAAGTCCACAAATCTTAAAAATTGCCACATTTGGGAAATACTGGTCTAAACCATTCTCTGCAGCCGTGCATCCCAAAAACATGTTTTGTTTTGTTTTTAAAGGAAGCTAAAACATTCTAGAGCCACAGCAGATGGCAACAGGTTTGACTGATTTCAAAGTCTATGCAAGGTCAGACTTAAGTTCATACTTGGATGGGAGATAATAATAGTCAAAAACATATACCAGAAGAAGACAAGGGCAAGCCACTACAAAGTACAGTAGTCCAGCTCCCTTCAAGAGAGTTGTTACTTAAATCAGAATCTTGTTTCAGAGTTTGATCTGTCTTGAAAATGAAAAAAGAAATATAAGTGGAAATATTTTCAAACGTATCATTCAGATAACAAGAAATCATCACTATTTCCAGCCTCCTCCCTGGTCTTTATAATATTCCTCTGTCAGAAACACACGGTACTTAATTTAACACACCATCCAGAAAATGGCAAATTTCACCCAGTCTGTTTAGAGTAAGGAAAATCCAGGGAAATTAGCTACTGATGATTCTCTTTGTAAAATTATATTCACTGTAACAAGAAGTCTGTGTCAAGTGTGTCTAAATGCATTGTAAAAAGCAAAACTATGCTGCATTATCAAGGTATTTTGAATCACATGACAAAAATATAATTTAATGGGCTAATCTCAATATTTATATAGCAGAAATTACAGGTGTAATCATACATAAAATAACTTGATAATTGGGAGCATTTAAGCCTGCAATTCTATTTTACTTCAGAACAAACATAATTGAACTCAGTGGAACTGAATTTACAGAAGAAACATGCATAAGAACAAGGGGCAAGATTTTAAGCATAATTTGCAATTTACTTCCGTATAGAGATATTCCTTTAAAGCTGTGTTTCTTCAGGCTGTGGAGTGAATGCTGGGACTTAAGTCCACACATCTTAAAGATGCTGAGGTTCAGAAACACTGCTCTAAAGAATCTTGAAATTTAAAAGTTGCACATGATATCTATTTATCTTGTCAATTGAATCAAGTTTGTAAATTAAAAACCTATCAATATTTTTATGCTATGTAAAAGCCTCTAGAAATAGGCAGCTGATCTCTACATTAAAATTAATTGGAAGCTTGAAAGTTCTATGCATGCATCAATAGTCACTCAGAGCTCAAAAGAGAAAAATCTCTGCTCAGTATTAGCATAAGAGGACTCAAGATGCAGAATTTGGCTCTAGTCCAAATTCTCTTAATTTCCCAATATACAATGCTTTCTTCATTCCTATTTTTACCTACAGCCAGAATACTGAATTGCACTTATCAACAGTAAAGATGTATGTGGTGGTTCATATACATATATGTACAAATTAATTCATTCATTACTGTGTTTCCCCAAAAATAAGACCTATCCCGAAAATAAGACCTAGCTTGATTTTTACGCGTGTGCCTATTATAAGCCCTGCCCTCAAAATAAGCCCTAGTTTTGGGGCGAGACGCACTCGCTTAACTTAGGATCGCTGCAGCCAGGCCTCCCATGCCCTGACATCTGTTGCGCCATTGCTTGAATTCTTTTGTGGCTGCATGCCACATGGCGCATCACAGATGCCGCTTGTGACAGGAGGCTGTGTGGCTCATCGCACCGATCACACCGGTGCTGCTGCTTGTGGCATGAGGCCACGTGGCTTATCACGCCGGTGCCACCTCTCATGGCAAGAGGCTGCATGGCACATCACACTGGTTCCACCACTCACGCACACACTACGCAGCCTCCTGCCGCAAGTGGAAGCAGCAGCGCGTTGAGCCACGCGGCGTGCTATGAGCGGCAACACCGGCACAATCAGTGCGATGAGCCACATGGTGTCCTAATGTGAGCGGCAGCACTGGCATGATGTGCCACATGGCGTGCGGCCGCAAGCAGCTGCAGAATAATACAGGCAGCAGCTGCAGCAGTCCTAAGGTAAGTGGGTGTGGGGCACGTGAGGCAGCTCTACCCCCCACTCCCGCCTTAGCTTGATTTTTACAAGTGCACCTCGCCCCAAAACTAAGGCTTATTTTGGGGGTAGTGCTTATATTAGATGCATGTGTAAAAATCAAGCTAGGTCTTATTTTCGGGATAGGTCTTATTTTCAGGGAAACACAATACATGAAGTAGATTCCATAGCAGAATTTGGATAATATTTCTTTAATATTCTCACCAAATCTGTACTCTGATGTGATATTTTCCAGATTTTTCAACAGTGTGGCCAGTTCTTCAAACATTCTCTTATCATCAAATGGGGATTTATTTTGATTTTAATATGATTTAAAACAGAATAGACATCTGGTTATCAGCCAGTGAGTGAGATTTAGTTTTTGCTGGTGTTTTATAATAATTTCTATTCAGCTGCAAATCTTGTATGATCATATATTATGTTAGGTCTTTTTAGTGTTGTTTTGAAGTATTTCTAAATTCATAGGCACTGCGTAACAGTAATTCAAATTGCAGTGTCTTGACCTGTATTGTTTAATTTTTGTAATGATGTAAAAATTATATTGACCAGCTATTAAATTTATTTATTGTACATTTACTGAATTCACAAAAATAGGGCCACTTCCAATCCTTTTTAAATAGAGTAATTAAGAACTATTGTTGTGAACTCAACAAAATAGCTCCAAAACTGCATTGTGCTATGCTAAACTGCGCATTAATCCGGTCATGTTTAATTGTGCTGGCATAGAATTTTGCTTATAAAGCTTAAAAGCTAGGAAGAAAGATCAATTGGGTGAAAACCCCTTTCTTCCGGCATTGTTTAACAACTTCACATATCTTTAAATATGTTCCATCCAATCAGCTTTTCATTTGTGAAATGATGAGTTTCTGTGCTTCCCTCAGAGACACTAAACCTATGAAGTTTAATCAGACTAATTATAAAGTTAAAAGGAACACAACATTGTATATTTGATATTATAGTGAACAACGTTCAGGGAACAGATCATTGAATAGCTAACCAAAATCTACTTTGGTATTTTGTTTACATATAATCAAATCTATCCCTATTTGAAGATCAGATAGAGCTACACTGCACTTTGCAGCCTAACCTTAATTATGGTAACCCCAGAGTAAATCTCACTGATTTCAGTGATAGTTATACTTAGGACCCCTTTTTTTAAAAAAAAAATAAATCTTAGCTTAGGTGTGGTTTTATAACAACATAGGATCATCCAATAAGTCTTAGGAAGCTTGGCTTTCAAAATGTGACTTTGTTTCCCTTGATAATAAAACAGAGTTAAATACATATAATAGTTTTTAAGAAGGAAGGAAGGAAGGAAGGAAGGAAGGAAGGAAGGAAGGAAGGAAGGAAGGAAGGAAGGAAGGAAGGAAGGAAGGAAACATTTTTCACCAGAGATCAAGTATATTTAATATTTTTGGCCAGGAATTTATGATATACCGCAAATATCTGCCGTTTGACAGAAATAGTACTTTACTTTCTCATGAATACACACATGACAAAAGAGTGAACAAAGAAAACTGTTATTTAAATGTCCTGCTTATAGCTTGATCGTTGCCTTCACTAAAAAATTACAGTCACTCCACCAACACAGGTCCTTAACGTAGCTATTCATTTTGACTTTATATTGTGATTTAGTTTTACAGTGTTCACTCACATACCTTCCTTCTCCCTATACCCATTCCCTTTTGTTTTACAGATTCTCTTTTATTTTGATATATTTTTTACTGTCATTTTCACCATTGAAATTGCCCTGAAGGTAAAGTCCCATTTCCTCTTCCATTAGCTTCTCACATGTAAGCCCACTAATTTTCTGCTGCTCTCTGTTGCTAACCCACACACCTGTTTGTGTTTTGGCCATGCTCTGTGATCACTAACCCAACTGTGCTTATTTTTCAGATCCTAGGCAATGCAGATTATGTCTTCACTAGTATCTTTACATTAGAAATTATTCTTAAGGTAACCAATATGAGCCTTATGTGCTCCCTCTTGCTTTCTGCTTTGTAATTTTGTACTGCTTCAAATCCCACGTGTTTTCTCTGTTAATGGGTGTCCTTTGTAGCTCAGATGTGATTGTGCATGCTTTTGAAACTAATCTATTGTAAATACTACAGTCTCATTTGTTAGTCCACTTGTTAGTCCTTGGTATATAGCAACCAAATTGTCCAGTAAGCTCAGGGAAGAATAAATGTCCTGAAACACCACATTTGTTCATTTCAGGAAGCAATACTCTTTGTGATAAGCTCTCCTAATGTCCTTATATGGCTCTAAATCTAAAACAAAACAAAATTAAAAAAAAACATATTATAACTTGTCATTATGAACTCAGGCAACCTGAGGTCTGACATGAGTCAGACTATTTAGAGTACAATCTCTATTTTATATATCTTGTAGTGCTAAATTGGCTTTAGGGAGCGGAATTTTCACCCAATAGACCAGGAAATCCTAGCAATTTGCTAATGTGAGCAAATACAATTGAAGCCAAGAATCCTTCAATATATGTGTAAAAAATGGAATCATATTAAATGTGGCCTACTGTGTTAAATTACAGTTGCCGAAATAGCCAATGCAGCACCCAACTATTGAAATAGGAGCAAACTTTAGCCATCTTGAAACTGCAAAAAAATGAAAAGACGGGTGAAATTATTAAAGCCCTATCAGACCATAGTATTAGTTGATAAATTATGTTACCTTGGTAGATTTTAGGATGTTTATAATGTTGGAGACTAAGTAGAAGAAAGTCTAGAAAGGAAACTCCTGACTGAATTTCTTCTAGCATACTATAACCAAAATTACAGCATCACCTTTTAACCTTTTGGTGTTGTTGATTCCAATCTGGATGAGAAATTTATGATCCAACATGACATCAAAGTCCAGAAAACTGAGTTAAGTAAGTAAGATAAACTGAGACAGATATCCTGTCAACACAGCCACTGAAGATTTCAGTATTGTTCTTCCATAATATTAACAGCATCAGAGTTTAAAAGATCATATTTCCTTCTATCTTGTAACTTTGCTCTCATATATGGAAGATACTCTGGTTTCTCTTCAGATCATATAAATCTTTCACCTTTTATTGGACAGCACAGATAGCTAGAGTAAGTGGTGTAGTTCAGAATTCCACATAGTAGATCCACTAAGGGCAATTCTTCTTTAGCTTTCACAGAATTACAATGTGCCCCAAATGCTACAAAACACTCCAATGTCGCCTTGTTCCCTGTTTATTTCTATCAATAATCTTCTCTTAGTTTAGAAAAAACTAGTCCTAACCAGGGACATTAAACCCGAGAGACAGAAGAAAAAGGGTGCTCTTGCTATCGCTCCATGGGTAAGACAACCTCATCTTAGTCCAAGCTTGTAGCATCGGTTGGTATTCCACAGTAGTTCCAACTGTGAAGATCTGTGTGATTCTATCTATGTGATTTCTCAAGAGAAATGTACATACCTTGCTCAATAGTAGCAACTGTGAGAGGGATCTTGGAGTCCTAGTGGTCAATCACCTAAATATGAGCCAGCAGTGTGCTGCAGCTGCCAAAAAGGCCAACACAGTGCTAGGCTGCATTAACAGAGGGATAGAATCAAGATCACGTGAAGTATTAATACCACTTTACAATGCCTTGGTAAGGCCACACTTGGAATACTGCATCCAGTTTTGGTCACCATGATGTAAAAAAAGATGCTGAGACTCTAGAAAGAGTACAGAGAAGAGCAACAAAGATGATTAGGGGACTGGAGGCTAAAACATGAGGAACGGTTGCTGGAATTGGGTATGTCTAGTTTAATGAAGAAAAGGACGAGGGGGGACATGATAGCAGTGTTCCAATATCTCAGGGGCTGCCACAAAGAAGAGGGAGTCAAGCTATTTTCCAAAGCACCTGAAGGCAGGACAAGAAGCAATGGATGGAAACTAATCAGGGAGAGAAGCAACCTAGAACTAAGGAGAAACTTCCTGACAGTTAGAACAATTAACCAGTGGAACAACCTGCCTCCAGAAGCAGTGAATGCTCCAACACTGAAAGTTTTTAAGAGGAGACTGGACAGCCATTTGTCTGAAATGGTATAGGGTTTCCTGCTTGAGCAGGGGATTGGACTAGATGACCTCCAAGGTCCCTTCCAACATTATTATTATTATTATTACTACTACTACTACTACTACTATGTGAAAGTGCATTGAAACGTTCACAGGAAGAATAGGAACAGAATAGAATAGAATAAAAATAAGCTCCCTCTCATTTTACAATTCTTATGGTTAGTCTTTGGCTGTCATTATGTTTAGAATACAGATAGTCCTAGACTTACAACAGTTCATTCGGTGACCACTCAAAATTATAAGAACATTGAAAAGTGACTTACGACCGTTTTTCACAGTTATGACTGCTGCAGCAGTGCCATGGTCCTATGATCAACATTCAGATGTTTTTTAATTGACTCATATATGACAGTTGCAGTATCCTAGGGTCATGTGATAACCTTTTGTGACCTTCTGACAAGCAAAGTCAATGGGGAAGCCAAATTTGCTTAACAATTGTGCTACTAACTTAACAAGTGCACTGATTCAATTAATGACTGGCAAGAAAGATTGAAAAATGGGGCAAAACTCACTTAACAACAACAAAAAAATTTTTGACTCAGTTGTGGTCATAAGTTGAGGTCTACCTGTCTCCATTGTTATTGTTAATATTGGAGCACTCAAGAATGCCTTTCAATATTACTTGGCAAAATGTTAACCTTTCCACCAGCCTACATAAAATTTATAACTATGTCCAAGTAATTTTCCCCTACACTTAAGAGACAGTCTAGATTAAGGTCAGAATTACAATTTCCTATGTTTGCTTTAAAGAAAAAAAGCTTAAATTTAAAACAAGCTGTCCTTCACACCAAAAAAGAAAAAAAAAAAGAGTTTGGCCAGAAAAAAAAATCACCAGCATTATCACCTTCCTGGGCCATCTAAGAAAACTCTCATTTTAAAAATAAACGATTTGAGTGGAAAAATCTAGGCTTCCTTTTAGTTAAATAGGAGAAAATAAATGGCCTGACTATACAATATCCTATCTGAAAAAAGCTAATCTGATTAATCATGAAATGTTCAATCAGAGCTGGTATAATTTGTGTTTGGTGCTTTTTTTAAAATGTCCTAAAAACAGAGAAAATCTTTGCAAAATAGATCTCTTTCCATCTCTCTCTTCCCGTCTGAAACTAAAGTTTGCTTCAGATTTCTTGGGTAAAGGATTGGACACGACCTGAACCTATTAATACCTTTTAATATGTGCAATGCTAATTGAGAATGCATCCAGGCTCTCTTAGAGCTTTGCCTTGTTTACTTTATAGAATGAGCTGTACACACAACACTAACGCTTAGTATGTTTTGTTTGATTTTGATTTGATTTTGACTCGGGGGAATCCGAAAATATGTAGGAACCAAGCTATTGTCTGAGTTTGGGGCCTTTGTTTCTGCCATCTTGTTAAAAAATAATCTTAGGAAAAATATGATTAAGTAAGTCTTTATATAATTACTTCTGGGCTTACTATATCACTTGATCCAATTCAGTAAATAATTAGGCACTATATCTAGAGAGCAAATCCCCATGATCTCTAAACATATATTTCTACATGGCATAAAATATGATAGTTTTAGTTTTTCTACTAATTTATGCCTAGCATTTAATACTCTTTTGGTATCCTGTTCTTCTCCATCACACATGCATGTTCATGTCAAAACCTATTGTACAAAAATATACAGTGCCTTTCAGACCCTCCATTTCCCAGTTGTGATTGACTTATTTATCTTTCAATGATATGGAGAATATTAAATGTTAGTTTCTACCGCTCAGATTTATGTGGATTTTTTTTTATCCAGGGGTGCCGTTGCTCTGATTCAAAAGCTGTAGTCTTAATGTCTTACTGTGTCACCAATAACTTTATAAAATGCAAGCTGAGTTGTTTGGAGTTCACACAACCTAAAGTTGCCACGGTTAAGAAACTCTGCTTTAAAACAGAAGTCCTGGCAGACACTTTAGCCAGTTGTTGCAGCAAATGCCCTTCCTTCCTCAATTAATTATATTATTTTCTATTGATTTCAACTTAAAGAGCAGTGCTTTTATATTCATTCTGAATTCTTTCCAATAGAAGATAATGTTTCCTAATGCCGTTTGATTTGGATGATATATAATGTCTCATTCTCTTTATAAAGACTAACAGAAAATTATAAGGTTTTTATGCAGTGAATTCTGGGTTGGCTGCAAGAATTGAAAATGCAACTATGGTTGTTTGTTCCTCATATTCCAATCAGTATTTTAAATTTAATAAATAAATAAAATAACTATACTTACTGTAAGACATTTTCAGGTCTGAAATTTTTATGGAGTCATGCTAAAATTCCATGTGCAGATAATGCTTTCCTTGAAATAGCTAGTTTTATCAGCCAAAAGAAACTTAATCAGATTGGCCACAGCTAATTATTTTTTAAACATTTCAAAATCAAATCACAGGATTAACATTTGTATTTTCTTGGTCTGTTAACTAAATGCAAAGCAAAGCGACAAAACAGTCAAGTTAGTTATTATTGTGGCACAGGAAATATGAAACAGAGAAAAATATTGTGTGCACTTAAGATCAAAGGTACTAAAAATAATAAAATGCCTGGGAAAAGGAATATTTTAGCACAATGTTCAAAAAAGCAGCAACATACAGTACGTGCCAAGTGTGTGTCTTTGGGGAATACATTTCACAAAGCCCCAAAGCCACTAACAGCCTCAGTTCACAAAAACTGTTGAAGTGTCCTTGAAAGTTCCTATGGAGAAGGCATTCCTTGAGATTCTAAGCCATTCAAAATAGTCCTAAGATTTTGAATTACAGAAAGTATTTCTTGGAAGAGAGTGTTGCTGGTAAAAATAATTCATGCAGAAACTGCTATGATCTAGTTAATATTACATTCAGATTTTACAAGTGATTGCAAATATTGATTTAGACATATGTACATGATCACTGATAATAAAAATCACATTTGGGGTTCTTCTTGCACAGACACCTAGATCCTTCATTTTGTAGAACCAATATAACAGGAAACTAAACTGCATTGATAAAAACCATGCCTGCTAGTAAGAAAGCAGCAGAGAAACATATAATCCTCAATTCAGTCTGAGAGATTAAGCAGGATGATGGCCCTTCTAAAAATTTAAATCTGGATCTGGTAGCACTTCTTCCTATTGAGATCATTAGACTAATTTTCATTAAAGGAGATTTATGAAAAAAAGTTTCCATTTAAATAATAATCATATGGGACAGTACATTTTACAAAATTCTAGAATGAATGTCACATTGAATGCTAACAAAAAGAGAAGTGTATTCCAAAGGCAATAATAAGCTGCAAACAGCCATTCCTTAGTTGGACCACATGCTACTATCAAGTTTTTCTAGCATATCCTTCTCTGAAAAACACATTTACTCCTCTTTGCCTTCTTCATGTGAAGCTTTGTGCTAAAATGTATAGAGATTTTCTCCTCTACCCTTCTTTTGCTTCCTCTGAAAATATTTCGCATTTTCTAACAGTAAAATCTTGATTGCCTATAGATGACTGCTTATGGGGCTTTCCTTCACAAAGGCTCCTTCTGCAGGAACTACTTCAACATCCTGGACCTGCTAGTGGTTAGCGTTTCTCTCATCTCCTTCGGGATCCAGTGAGTAAGCTATCGTATCTTTCCAACTATCATATGATACATGGATAGTAAGGAAGAGAGATGGATCAGCAGAAGGCAGGCACAATTGTTGCACAAGCTAAATGAAGGTTCTTCCTACAAATTGTGTCTATTGTTTTTTCTTCTGTGTGTGTGTGTGTGTGTGTGTGTGTGTGTGCACATTTCTGTGTGTGTAAGATCATCCTTTGCTCATGTTGAACTACCTTCAACTAGGAACTGTTTGTTTAGTCCAGGGGAAGGCAACCTTGGCTCTTTTATGACTCGTGGACTTCAACTCCCAGAATTCCTGAGCCAGCATAGCCAAGGTTGCCTACCCCTGGTTTAGTCGGTTTGCCTCCTTCCTTCATAGTCCTTTCTCTTTGTGCAAACTTTTGTAAAGAGTTAAAAGTAAGAAGGTAGGTTTCTAAAGCCTGGTTTTTAATTTCTGAATCTTCCACATAACTATTTCTACATGTCTGACTTTCATTCTCATTTCAAAATAATTGGGACTTTGTATATTTGTATGAAGAATAATTAAGAAGCCACAAGATGCTGTTTCTAGTTCAGACCAATACTGGATTTTAAATTGGTTTGTAAGCTATCATAAGAAAAAATTATATTCTGGAGATATGCAAGAGTCAAGTGGTTTTGGCACCTGACATAATCCAAGGAGCCAAGGTGTACTAAGTTATATATATTATAACATTATAGAAGAAACAAAAGAGGAGATAGTGGCCGCAGAAGCAAAAGGAACAAAGAACTTTGTTTCATTATTATGCATTTGACTTAGGTTGAAGCCTTGGTTGCAATAAGAATTAGGAGGAGGGACCTAAAGCATCGTAGGTTTTGAGAATAGATTTGAAGAAAACAGAAGCAGTGTTGTACAGGTGTTCTATAGAACAAATCCACACCAAGCACACACAGCGCCGGTGCCAAAGCACCGAGTAGTTTGAAATAGGAGAATTTTGCATGGCTGAGATTGATATAAAGTTGACAATTGTTTATGAGCAGGACAATATCAGGACGTTGGTGTGGTAGGATAAGAAATGCAAGACTAGGTTATGGAAAACTTTGAAAGCTAGACTAAGTCAACGTGGAGATTTAAAGAGGGTATTACTTGATCATAATGTTGAGAGAAGTGAATTATTTGGTCAGCAGTGTGCCAGGCAAACATTAGGGAGCTAAAAAAGGAAAAAGAGGATGTCACATGTTTTGCCACGGAGGCAGAAAGGGTATGAAAGTCTGGACAGTGAAGATAAAAAGAATATAAGCAAATTGTGAAACATGGATTCCTAATTTAGAGAAGAATATATGGTTTATAGTGAAATCAAAAACTTCAGTAATGACTCATAACTAATTCATGAAGCTAGTATAACTTTTTTTCAAGTTCTCACAGTCTGAAAACTTGTCAGGCTGCTGTAGTAAATAGAAAGAAAGAAGAGTTCAGCCTCCTTCAAAGAATACAGAGCTCTCAAAGCAAGATTCTTCAGCCCGTTAGTCTACCTTATCCAGTTGTTCAGAGTTTCTTTGCCACTGGCCAGGAAGGATGGGGTTCCGTCTGTGCTGGGGTTTGTGTTTAACAGAGCCAAGTTGTACGTTGGAAAAAGTCTTTCAGAGACTAAATTACTGGAGAACTGACCTCTTCTGAATTAGCAATTTGGTGAAATGCTTCTGAAAGTCCTTATCTTAAAATCCCTTGTGATGATTACTGCATGGCACCCTGTTTGCATTATGTCTGCTGTTCATTTGGCAGATTGACTTGTCATTCTTTCCTCTTGGTCAATGTGATATTTTTATACAACTTAATACACCTGTCACTAACAGCTCCCTCCCCTTTAGCATCTTAGTATACAGCATCTCAGCTATAATAGAATGTAGTAAAAAGACTCTATGAACAGAATGCATGTATATATTTAGAACAGTGGTTCTCAACCTTTTTATACCGGTGACCCCGGTCATAAGCACGCGGCGCGCATGCGCAGTGCCGCCCCCTGTGCGGCGTGGCACACATGCACGGCGTGCATGCGTGGTGCCGCCCCCTGTGCGGCGTGGCGCACATGCGTGGTGCCACCCCCTGCGCCGGCTGAGGCATAGCCGGCAAGGGGCGGCGGCAGGCAGGCCCAGACGCTCCCGGGCGGCCGCAGCAGCGGCGGTGCAGGGCGACCATTGGCTGGGCCACCAGCTGGCCCAGCCCAAGGCAGGTAAGGCACCTGCCGGGCCCCATGCGCGCCAGCAACCCTCCCTGCACCCACCGGCCTTCCACCCCCCACCCCCGGCCCTCTTTTACTTACTTTTTAGTTGCTCAACAGGGAGGGAAGCTCTGCAGACTGTTCCCCTTGCAGCACCGTTTGCAGACTGGGGCTTTTGGCAGGCTCAGCAGGGCAGAGACAGCCCTGGACAATTCCTATTGGCTTTTGAGAGCCAATAGAATTAGACTCTGTTCAAGAGAGTCTATTCTATTGGCTTTCGAAAGCCAATAGAATAAGAGGGAGTAGCACAGCTAAGGAAAAGGGGAAAAAATGGCAGAAAAAATGGCGGATCGCGTTGTTTGGCGACCCCCATGAAATGGTCGTTTGACCCCAAATGGGATCGCGACCCACAGGTTGAGAACTGCTGATTTAGAATAATATACATACTATACTAATATACCTCAATACCTGGGAAGATCCTGGAAAAGATAATCAAACAACGAATCAACGAGCACCTAGAGGCAAACAAAGTCATTACTAAAAGCCAACATGGGTTTGTCAAAAATAGATCATGCCAGACAAATCTTATTGCATTCTTTGACCAAGTGACAAAATTAGTGGATCAGAGGATGCTGTGGACATAATTTACTTGGACTTCAGTAAGGCATTTGATAAAGTAGATCACAACCTACTACTTGATAAGATAGAAAAATGTGGGGTAGACAGAATCACCACCAGATGGATCCGTAGCTGGCTGACCGGCCGTACTCAGCGAGTGGTCCTCAATGGAACTGCATCTATATGGAGGGAAGTGTGTAGTGGGGTGCCCCAGGGCTCTGTTCTGGGCCCAGTGCTCTTCAACATCTTCATCAACGATTTGGATGAAGGGATAGATGGGGAACTCATCAAATTTGCAGACGACACCAAGCTGGCAGGAATAGCCAACACTCCAGAAGACAGGCTTAAGATACAGAAGGATCTGGACAGACTTGAACACTGGGCACTAACTAACAAAATGAAATTCAATGGTGAAAAAAGCAAGGTTCTACATTTAGGCAAGAAAAACCAAATGCACAAGTACAGCATAGGTGGCACCATGCTCAATAGTAGTAACTGTGAGAGGGACCTCGGAGTCCTAGTAGACAATCACCTAAATATGAGCCAGCAGTGTGCTGCAGCTGCCAAAAAGGCCAACACAGTGCTAGGCTGCATTAACAGAGGGATAGAATCAAGATCACGTGAAGTATTAATACCACTCTACAATGCCTTGGTAAGGCCACACTTGGAATACTGCATCCAGTTTTGGTCACCACGATGTAAAAAAGATGTTGAGACTCTAGAAAGAGTACAGAGAAGAGCAACAAAGATGATTAGGGGACTGGAGGCTAAAACATATAAGGAACGGTTGCTAGAATTGGGTATGTCTAGTTTAACGAAGAGAAGGACAAGGGGGGACATGATAGCAGTATTCCAATATCTCAGGGGCTGCCATAAAGAAGAGGGAATCAAGCTATTTTCCAAAGCACCTGAAGGCAGGACAAGAAGCAACGGGTGGAAACTTATCAAGGAGAGAAGCAACCTAGAACTAAGGAGAAACTTCCTGACAGTGAGAACAATTAATCAGTGGAACAGCCTGCCTCCAGAAGCAGTAAATGCTCCAACACTGGAAGTTTTTAAGAAGAGACTGGACAGCCATTTGTCCGAAATGGTGTAGGGTTTCCTGCCTGAGCAGGGGGTTGGAATAGATGACCTCCAAGGTCCCTTCCAACTTTACTATTATTATTATTATTATTACTTTTAAAACAAAACCTCAAAACCTAACGGGCATGCAGTGGTAAAAAAAAATAAAATCTCTGCTGCCAGACCAATAAACCTTTTATTAATAAGGTATTACAATAAAATTATATATAAATGATTAAGTTGAAGACATTCTAAATAAGTGCAACATTTTCCTATGAAAAAATTAAATATACTTTTAAATAATTTAAAGATGCCAATACATATTGCCAGCTTTATATTACAGTTTTAAGCAATTCAGTAGAAACGTTCCAGGAAAAGATATATGAATCTTTTACAAATCTTCTTTCATATACCTTAAACATTTTATTTGAAAGCATATGAACTGGTAAACATAATATAAAATTCTCTTTCTGTGCTCAATCATATCTATTTCACTACATAATTTTCAGCTGATAGATAACTCCTAGAATGATAGTAAATCCTGATCTTCAATGTTCTTCTCTAGGTCCAGCGCAATCAATGTAGTAAAGATATTACGTGTCTTGAGAGTCCTCAGACCGCTGCGGGCAATCAACAGAGCAAAGGGTTTAAAGGTAGAAAACTCTTACCAGTTCATGAACAATCAAATGTTCTCTCGCTTTATGTTACTTCTCTGAATGAATCAACTTGGGGTCTCTTCCAGTGCTAGGCAGTGATTCAATCTATCTGCTTTGTTCGGATAGGCAGGATTCCTTGTTAACAGTGAGTGATTTTTTTTTCTGTCTTCAAGGTAATAGTGCCCACAAGTGTACAATTCTATTTATCTTGCTATATATAAATGATTGTCATTCATTTTTATGGCAAAAGATCTTGTCTTTTTTTTCTGTGATAATATTGGACTGGGCAGAGCCTTGGGAACTGGTATTAAATTATTTGACTTGGGCAGGAAATTTCTTTGTGTTATAATGATCTATATTTGTATTTATTTATCAAATTTCTACACCACCCATCTCACTTAAGTGACTCTGGATGGTTTACAAAGAATGTGAAAGGCAATTCTGAGCAAAGTATAGCATACGCCTGGGTATGCTACATGATGCTACAGATTTTCTCTAATACTGTCCCATTCAAAAATGTGCAGTACAGCTTAAGGGTGGCCATTTGTTATCTAAACAAAGGTAACATACCCATTTAAGTTATAGATTCTCTTCCCCCCAAAATCACTACTTTAGGAGATTCTGTTATTTAGCCTTTTCACTGTGGATACAAATGGTAAAAAGCTGATAAAGCTTTTAGAAAGTGAACAGTCTATTGTGAAACATTTATGACTTAATGATGCTCTTGCTCCTTTCTGATTATAAAATCACAGTCTAAATAGCCTGTGGATTTTTGCTTGCTAAGTGGTACTGCACAGAGGTATAAGATGCCTAAGTGACAAGAATATTAGTACTTAAAACAACTCAAAAGTGAAAAAAATTCAACTTGTTTTTATTTCTGATTTTTATTTGCAGCATGTGGTTCAATGCGTATTTGTAGCTATACGGACCATAGGGAATATTGTGATCGTGACCACCTTGTTGCAGTTCATGTTTGCCTGCATTGGAGTTCAGTTGTTCAAGGTAAGTGTTACAGGACTTGTTCCTCGCTTTTTCATTGAAAGTTGAAAAAATGACAATCCAATAGAAATGTTTGGAAGAGTTTGGGAGAAAAAGAAAAGAAAAACTGTCTGGCGCTCTACATTTTCTAGAACGATCATCACAAAACAAAGTAACTGACTTGCTTAATTTGAGAGAGCTACTGGGCACTTTAGTTCATAATGTACATTAAGGGAGTAACTAATGGTGTTTAACCTTTGAACTAGTATGTTCACTATCAATGTAGTTCTCTGCAAAAATAGTCCCAAATACTACTTGTATGTGATTTGGGGCTTTGTGTCACATTTGATGATAATTTAAGGGAAGAATTTATGTTTGCAGCTGGATGGATGTGGGAACCTTCTCTGAATTTTGTTGAATAGTGAAGATGAGCAGAATCAGCCCAGCTGTTCTCTCAGTGCATTCAGTGCACAGATGAATGAACATTTCCTGAAGCTAGGGATAATTCCAGAAACTGGACAGTCCACCATATGGATCTCATCAACCTACATAGTTAATCAGGTGTACACACCGGGCAGATATTAATATTGTGGCTGTTATTGAAAGTAATTGGAATATGGGTTTGCAAAAAGTGGAAGCTTTTACTAGCAGTGATCTGCCTTCAGTGTATTTTCTATCTGAAAACTACTTTTGCAGTATCAGCAATAATGATACACGTGAAGTATGAAAACCTAGAACGTTTCAATTTGCTTCATAAGATCTTAGATTAAGAATTCGTTTCATTATATGAATAATAATTCATATAATACCGTATAGTGCTATAGTGTGCTCCAGTTTTCAGAGTACACTAAACACTTTCCCTAACATAGAGAATTTCTATGACTTCTCTGTTTCTTCCAAAGTCTCCTTTGTTTAATGTTCTAATACAAATATACCATTTTATACTAAGTCAATGATATTGTTCCTTAGGGTGTAATATATGATTTTTATCCTTACTATAATCATAATTACAGGTAGTCCTTGACTTGACTGATCACTTTGTTTAGTGATCAGTCGAAGTTACAGTGGTATTGTAAAAAGTTTTCACACTTAACGACCGTTGCAGCATCCCCATGTCATGTGATCAAAATTCAGGCACTTGGCAACTGGCATGTATTCAAGATAGCTGCACTGTCTGGGGTCATGTGATCACCATTTTTTTCACCTTCCCAGCCACAGTTGGGATTTATAAGCCAAAGAAATTAAGCATATAAAATATGAAAAAGCAAAGAAAATTTAGCTAAATTTAATGTACATAAAAACCATTAAAGTATCTGCATCTTTTCACACCCTTTTATCATTGCAAACACTGTCTTTTGCTATTTAAGCTTTTAATCTTGTTCTTTTTGAGGATCACATCAGCTCCTTCAAATCACAACTTTCTTAGACTTCATGCCCATTCGGATAAAGGGGAAATCCTCAGTATATTTATATAATGCACATGTCAAATCAAGTTGACATTTTGGTGGATTTGCACATTTGAAATAATTTGTAAAATGGCTGGAAACCTATTTTGTTGATGACTAATCTTTCTTCGATTCAGACTTCTGTTAAAATCATATACTTAAACATTAAACATAACTTTTTAATAGAAGTAACTGTATGATAAAATACTTATTCCTTTTTTTTAAGTTTTATTAATTTTTAAGAATTACAATCTTTAGAGATTAGTAAACAACATGTTGTCCAGGTTCACATATTTAACATTGACTTCTTCAATATAAATCCATTCAATACTGCACAATCCAATATTTTTTCCCTGATCCTCCTTTCTTCCCCATATTTTTTCCATTTTCCCCTCATTAAACAATTTTTGGTACTATTGATGTATATAAAGTTAGATATAAACATCTTCATCATATTTTACTTATCTTATACAAATAACAATAATATCAATTCATAAATCAATATCCTGTTTTTCGTGCTCTTGTTAAAGTTTGATTTCCCATCAATATTAAAAGTATCTTTATCAGTTATGATTTTCTCAATATTAATTACATTTATATAGCTAAATATTTTATTCATACCAATCCTCCTTTTATTTTCATATTTCCCATATCCAAAGAAGAAAAATAAAAATGCTATTTTAATTCTAAATCATATTTTTCATTATAAAGGATTAATTATATCTAAAGGTCATCCGTTCTTTTAATCATATTCAAACAAGTATTTAAACATATGATGCCCCCTCTAATAAGTCAAATCTTCTATTTTTTTAAATTTAACTTGCTTTCTTTCTTTGCCAAGTAGCTTTCCAAGCCAAAGCAATTAAATCGCCCAGGAATTCTCTTTTTATTTTTATGAAAATTGCTTGGCATGAGGAAGACAATTTAGGTAGGGTATTTTTTGGAGGGGGGGAATTCCAAACATTTATGTTCCTTAAGCAATTCTCATCTTCTCCCTCAATTCTTCCCCTTATCTTTTGTCTCCCAAATTATAACATTTCCCTGGCAGCTCTATGTTCCATTCCCCAAAATCATCTTCCTGGTCATCAAGTGCATCTTGCAGATTTAAAGGGTAAAGGGTCTTTTGCATTTTCATTGTTATGGGTAAGTCTTGCAGTATTTTATTTGTGTGTGGTAGTTTATATTTTCCTTCTTTCATCTCTTTCATCTCTTCTAGATCCATTTCCTCTGCTTCATCTTCTGACCTCTGGTTTATTTGTTTATACTTTGTAGTCATTGTCTGGGAACTTCGTAGTTGTAGATTAAATTTGGAGATTTGCTCATTTATATTATCTAAATTATTTTTAGTCTCATTATGGTTTCTTTTTATGTCCTCTTTGTATGCAACAATTGTTTGGTGAATTAGTTGCAGCATAGACTATATTTCCTTCTGAAAGATGGTTGTTTTTTCTTGAGGCATCTTTCCTGGAGATCCTCTAATATTACCAGTCTCAGTAAAAGTAAAACAAAATTTCCTCTAGCTTTCTGGTCTTATATATAGCCTTTATAATCCAATAGATTCCAAAATACAGGTCCAGTCCCCAAAACAATATTTTATAGTGATCCTTTGTCTCAGGCATCCAAAAATTGTCAATCAGGCAAGGTTGTAATCCACAATGTTCAAAGTGTTCAAAATGTTCAACTTCCCTGAAAACAGCTCAAGTCTCTCCCAGACAGGCATAGCCCAAAGTCAAATTTTCCTTCTCTCCCACTAGCTCTTGAGATTAAAAGTCCAAGCTCAGTAGGTGTTTATAGTCCAAGAAGGTCAGGGTGATAAGTATACCAAAATCTTTTCCTTTATTGCCAGCTGTTCTCCCAAGCTAGGAGTCACCAAGCAGCCAGAAAGCAAGTTATAGTGCTGTACACAAATCTACCACTAGATGTCATTCAAAGTTCATTTTCCACTCTTAAGACAAAGGATTGATTTCTTTCTCACCTCAGTGTTTTGTTTTGTTTTTGTTTTTTCCAAAGAGAAAATCTTAACAATTATCTCAGTTCTCGAATTTATCAAAACTGTAGCTTTATGTTACTGTCACTTCAGTATTGTATATATCCCCTTTAAAATTAAAACACCGCTTCCGTTCACATTCAGAGGTTTTTAGCTTCATGGGAGCCTTTCCCAGGAAATTCAGTTGTAAAATAGTAAAGAAAGGATCAATATTCTTACCCGGTTCCAAACATGCTGTTTACGATGTGCTAATTGGTGCTTTTGTTCTTTGGTTGTCAGCAGCTAATGGCTGGCCACAGGAATGTAGCCAGTCTTTCCCCTGCTGGTTTGGAAGATTTTCTCAGATCGAACAAAAAGACTGCCGTCTCTTCGTGATCAGCGAGATACCTCTCCTCTGCATCGCCTCTTTGGGGCAACTTTAGGCCCTTTTTAGGGTAGGGCGAAATTGGGAGCAGAAGGCTGAGCCCTGCCTTCCTGTGTCCATTCCGCCATGACGCAAAACTGGAAGTCCGATAAAATACTTATTACTATCCCAGTTTGACTTTAACTGTGTTGTATGTGTGTGGCCTTGAATGAAATCTTATAAGCCAAGATCCATACAAAATGCAGTAAGGCTAGCAATATAATTCAAGCTGATAAAACTTTAAACAACAATAGATGAAGAGAGGACAAAGCATATTTTTTTCTTTGTGAGGCAGTAATGTAAGCATAACTCTGTATTCTGCTCTATAATTAAATTATTCTTCTCTTTCATCCTTCTCCAGGGCAAACTGTACAGCTGCACTGATAGCTCCAAACAAACAGAAGCAGAATGCAAGTGAGTTCATGATTGTCTGACCTCTCTTCCATGTCAACTGCTGTCAGGGAATTTTCTTTTGTGTCTATTTTCCCCAATTCCCCTTACTTTCCTTCTCCTCATAGGGGCAATTTTATCACTTACAAGGATGGAGTGGTGTCTCAACCAATAATTCAGTCCCGAAACTGGGAGAATAGCAAATTTGATTTTGACAATGTCCTCACCGCTATGATGGCCCTTTTCACTGTTTCAACCTTTGAAGGCTGGCCAGAGTGAGTATATAAGGCAATATTTCTTCATATTTTATGGATCCAAAATAAGTTGCCTTTTTCAGCGTTTAAATGGACATGTTAAACTTGACTCGTCAGTCAGTACTTCAGTGTGTTATCATATGCTAACTCACTACCTGTTTCAATAGTTCTTTAGAAAATGCTGTTTTATTTCATTTTACTGTCTCATTTCTGACATAGTCATAAGACTGAATATCTAGAAATCTGGAAACTTTCAAATGGCACAGTTAGAAGGCCATTTTCTTGTGCTTTCAGCTGAGCTCTACAGTAAGCTCAGAAAGGATCTCTAAAGAAGCCTGCCAATTAGGTTATCTGAAAGTATTTACTTTCTATTTCCTTTCCCCCCCCCCGCGCTTTGTTTCCAGACTGCTGTATCGATCTATCGATTCCCATATGGAAGATGTGGGGCCCATCTATAACCACAGGGTGGAGATCTCAATTTTCTTCATTATTTATATCATCATCATTGCTTTCTTCATGATGAACATCTTTGTTGGTTTCGTCATTGTCACATTTCAAGAGCAAGGAGAACAGGAATATAAGAACTGTGAGCTTGACAAGAACCAGGTAATTCCATGATGTGGCTCTTAAAATCCTGCAAGATACAATTCAAATATCCAACTAAATATTTATTATTACAACGTGAGGGTGGTAGGCCTGCTGAAAAACATTACCCACCCATGAACTATTAGAATATTTCATTATCTTCATTGAAAAATAAAAGAAAGATACAGGGCTAGTCATGATAAAACAAGCATCACAATGGAAGCTCCTCTCCTGTTATATGTACATTATGACATTGCTTGCATAATAATGTAAATTACATCATGAAATAAAACTTGGATTCTGCAGAGACCTCTTGGAAGATCGCAAGTCTGTGTTCCTGTTGCAATGATATATTTTGGAATCTTTGTGTCATATTTTGATACACATTAACAGACCAGTACTACTGAGATCAGTGGTTTATTCCAAAGTAAATAATTACAATATTGCAATATACAAAGTTATTAGGTTTAATAAGATTTTAAGACTGCAACTTGTAGAATTTCCAGTCATCAAAGATCATATTGGATGGAATTCTCAAAATTACATGAACTTTCATGAAGTACAATTGCTCTACCAGCTGTTTCTCACAAAATGGTCTGTACTAGACAAAACTTTGGACCAAAACAATGGGTTGGTCATTAAGACTTACCATTAGAAAATGATTTTTCCTAAAGCAAGAATTTTTATAATAAATATTTCTGACCAAGCTAAACAATCATATACTTGTAGAATTTATTTTTCTTGTTACAGATGGATCATCTAACCTACTGCTTTCTCTTAATAGCGTCAATGTGTAGAATATGCTCTGAAGGCCCGGCCCCTGCGAAGATATATCCCCAAAAACCAGTACCAATATAAAGTATGGTATGTGGTGAACTCCACCTATTTTGAATACCTGATGTTCATCCTCATCTTGCTGAACACCATCTGCCTGGCCATGCAGGTAAGTGGGAAGTTAAAAAATACCAGGACTGTGCAGAGCTTCAGAAATAATTTAAATAATTTAAAACAAATGTATCTTCACCTGGTTAACTACTGCGGCTGCCATGTCATTTCAGGAAATGCATTGTTTGCTTTAAACAGCTGAAGTCAAGTGCAATGTCTTTATCCCATGTATTCAGAAACACTTTTTTGGAATAGAATTCAGTGCAGTATACAGCCCAAGAAAGCCTTACAATATCATAGCTAATTCATAGCAATATTCATGATCTAGAAATTGCACAGTTCCTGTAGTATCTTTAATTACCAAGGGAAAAGAAGTACATTATTAAAACCAAGAATTTTCTACTGTGAGAGAACTAAAATTATCTGAAAGTATGAATTTGTCCCATTCTACAAAAGCAGATTAAATTGTATCAACTGCATGCCTTTTTTTAAAGCAAGTGTATTTCCTAAGTGCAACATACGGAAACTATAAAAATTTTAATTTTTTATTTAAATTGTGTATATATACATACACATACACACACATAGTCACATTTTTTTTACAATAATTGTAAAGTGAGTCACTATGTTGTAAGCAAATCATGGGGTCGTCATATGGTTATTAAATGAATCCAGTATATCCAGTGGCCATTTTTTGCCGTTTTTCAGTCAGAAAACAACAGCAAAAAAAGTTACAAATCGCAGTAACGTGACCACAGAATGTGACAACCAATGGTAAATGCGATCTGGTTGCCAAATGCCTAAAAAGCAATCATGTGATTGGGGAAGCAGCAGTCATAACTTTGAGGACAGGTCACAAGTATAACACAGGTAGTCCTCTACATATGACTGTAATGGAGCCTGTCCATTACAGTCATATATTGTGATAGTCATAAAACGGGTTGGTCATATAATACCAACCTGTTTTTGTTTTTTGTGGCAGTCATTAAGCAAACCCAACGGTCGTAAAGTGAATGCTATAGCTATTAAGCAAACTAATAGTTTGCTATGCATGTGTTTTGCTAAAAACCAGAAGTAAAACCATCATGAAAGTCATGTGACCACAACACACTGCAAATGGCCATAAATGTTGCCAAGTGCCCTAAGTTTGGACACATGGCTGTGAAGGAAGCCTAATGTTGCAACTACAGACCCATTTTTTAGGTCTGCCATAACTTTGAATGGTCACTAAGCAGCCAATTGTAAGTCAAACACTGCCCACTCTGAGGATATGGTCTTTTTTTAAAATTAGATATAGATTAAAGTCACATTATCATATTTCAACTGGATAACCCATAATATTGTGTTAGAAAACTATGTTCTCCATATCATAGCTGGTTTTGAAATGAAATACATTTTTAATGGTTAATTCATTAAATTATAAAGAAATCGGTAGGAAAAAAGTGGAGTAGAAGTGGGAAGAGAGAACTGGTAAAAGGAGAAAACAATCCACTTTTCACAATGCAAATTGAAATAATTAATTGTTGGGGATTTATTTTCAGCACTATGGTCAAAGTATCCTCTTCAAACAAGCAATGAACATCCTCAACATGCTGTTCACTGGCCTTTTCACCGTTGAGATGGTTCTGAAGTTAATTGCCTTCAAACCCAAGGTATGTTGTCACTCAAAGTTTCTCTCTGTGCATCTATGGGTCAAAAAGCAGACTGGAGGAGATAAAAAGGTAATAAAGTCAGTTTTATCTCCCATACTCCTCCACAATCTAAAGGAAATGGTCTTGAGCAGTTGTTGCCTAGTCTGGAATCTCAATCTGTGCTTGGAATAGCCTTCCATTTTTAAATTGAGTATACAGACAGAATCATACCTTTTAAAAATACAGCATTTCTATGATTCTTCAGAATATATAGGCTGTAAAATGTCGTGCACCCCAATGGACATCCATAGGAACACGAGAATTGTCTCAGCACCAACTTGTAACTACTAATTTGAGGGCATAACTAGGATATTTGCTCCTGGGGCTGAAAAATGATCTCTGAACGAAGCCTTTTCATCTCCTTTTGAAAAGGAAAGTTAAAGAAGACTGCTGTGATGTAAGCAGAGCACTTGACCAAAGAGATAAGAGTCAGGAAGTTGCAACAGGAAGGCTTGTGTGTTTCAGAAAAGAGGGTTGGAATAAAAAGATAAAGATAACAGCTGTGATAGGATGGTGGAGAAGGAAAAAGTGGCAACTTCTCCCATAAAGAGGAGGCAGGAAGAAAAGAGAAAGTTTTCATCAAGTACGATGTTAGGTTTATTGATGAAGTTGGGAAAGGAAAGCGAGGAGAGGTTTTCTACTTATTCAGCAATGCTGGGAGTCCAGGCCACACCAGAGAAGGCTGGTGGCTGAAGGGATGAAACCTACCCTACTTGCCCAAAAATAGGGCCCAGTGGAGGAAAAAGCAAGAATATTCTTCACTTAGCCATTAGCAATAAGGCATTGAGAAGGTTGCCTGGAAAAACTGCTCAGTGGATACAGCACCTAACCTCCAACCCCGCCCTCCCTCTATTTCTAAACTTGCCCCCAAATGCCTGACTTGGAGACTGCAATTGAGTCAGTAAGGAAAATGGTCTTGCTTTGTCTACTCCCTGTATCCTCCTTCTCCTCCAGAACAAAGAGGAAACAAAGCAGTATACAATAGCTGAGTAGGAGAGAAATGTTCCTTCCAACTGTCTCATCACAAACTCTTAGAAGTACATATTCATCTGGAACCAGTACCTAGCCTTAAAAAAAAAGCTGTACTGCTAAAATAAATAAAACATTGTGGTAATTATTTTGTGAATTGTAGCCACAATAATTCCCCATGGTCCACGTGTATCCATGAGCCCAAAAGATTGAAAAGCAGCCCCTAATATACAGAATGTACTAAAAAAAAAAAATCTGGCAATTTATTATATACATTACATTAAATGTTTGAATTAGTTGCCATTTTCTTGTAAATACTTCCTTAGTCATCTGGTGCATGACCTTTGAATACTTCTAAATACTATAACATTTCTCTGGGGGGAAAAGTAATATTCTGATTGGCTTGGGAGCCTGACTATTGATACACCCTGTATATCTTTCATTGCTTTTAATTCGTAACGAGACAAACTTTGAGGCAGAAGGCTAGTATAAAATGAGTACAAACTCCACACAGTTTAAATGGTCTTCTAACAAACAGTCCTCGTTTAGTGACCATAACTGGAACCAGCAACTGGGTCATTAAATAAAGTGATCGCTAAGTGAAATTATGACTGTACTTATTATCTTCCTTCAGCTTTCCTTTTCTCCATAGACGTCCGATGGTTCTAAATGTGGGGACTGGTCACTAAGTTCCTTTTTCATCACTGCCATAACTGTAAACAGTCGCTAAATGAGGCAGTTGCTAAACAAGGACTACACGTAATATGAAATGTTGCAAAATATAAAAACTGAATTTTCTATAGGTTATTTGTATAATGCTTTTTAACACATAAGTGTTTAAAAGTGCTATGCTGTGGTAATTAATCCACTTCCCAAACACTTCTATGACTCATTTTCTAGTCTATTTTACATCTGCAGCATGATAAAATTATCCTTAAACTTGTAAGTAAAAGCTAGTTGAGTCTCATTGAATTTCTACTAATAGTTATTTTAGCTTTGTTGTAGCAGGCAAGGGTTTTTAGACAGCATGAACTTTAAGATAAATAGTACTTTCAAATTATAGAGCCTATATGTATGTGTGTGTGTGTGTGTGCGCGCGCGCACACACACACACAATCACACACATGTCTCCGAACTGTCTGTAACTAAACCCTCCCTCCCCCCCAAAATCTTGAAAATCTCAGTTTTCAGCAGTTTTAGAAAAGACAAATTCGGTTTAAATATAAAAACTATTGAAAATAAAACTCCCATTGTAACTTCCATATAACATGGGATAGTATGTTCATATCTAGGACACTGTGTGCAGCTGTTCATTTAAAAAAATATAAAGTTGCGAAAAATGCAGATGAGGACAAGCAGAATTATCAGGAAGTTTGAAAACCTAATCTACAAACAAAATCCAGAATATTTGGAACGCTCTAATTTGGAAAAATGAGACAGGATTAAAATGTATAAAATTGTGGATGGCATGGAGAACAGGGAAGAATTTATCTTCCATTTTTAAAACACTATAGGAGAAACATCAGTCCATGAAACTAGTTGGAAAGAGATTTAAAATGAAGGAAAGCACTTCTTCACACAGCACATAAACAACCTATGGAATTATTGTAAGAAAACATTGTGACAGCTACTAACTTGGATGGCTTTAAAAGTGGACTGGATAAACGGATGGAGAACAAGTTTTGCAAGGGCAATTTGCTCAAAGTTGGAGCCAGCATGGCTCCAGATATCACTTGCAATAAACAGTGCCAGGAATGGGATACTGTCTCCATCTGCTTAGAAGCGCAAAGAGTATCTGTTTGGCCATAATGAAACAAAATGCTGGACCAAGCTGGACCTTGGCTTGATCTAGGACAGGAGTATCAAACTGCCGGCCCATGGGCCGGACACATCATCCGGGAGCTGTGCCCACCCCATTGCCAGCAATGGCAAAACCGTCCTGATACGTTGCGTGACATCGTGAGTTTGACATGTCTGATCTAGGAAATCCATTCTTATATTCTTAAGTCTGTTCTTATGTTCAGTATTTTTTCTACAAAGCAAAGCTGCTCTTTCTAGCTATTTTGCTCAATGGCAGTTAGAGTAAAGTGATGCACATTACATCAATAACTATTCTAATAAGCCAGTTGCCAAGCATCCGAATGTAAATCATGTGACCATGGGGATGCTGCAACAGTCGTAAGTGTGAAAACTGGTCATAAGTAACTTTTTTTCAGTGCTGTTGTAACTTTGAACGGTCACTAAATGAATGGTTGTAAGACAAGGACTACCTACACTACACCAAGATTTAGTTATTCCTCGCCAAACTAAATATCAATACAATGCATAGGAAGACATTATACAGGTAGTCCTCGACTTACAACCACAATTGAGCCCAAAATTTCTGTTGCTAAGTGAGACATTTGTGTAGTGAGTTTTGCCCCATTTTATGATCTTTCTTCCCACAGTTCTTAAGTGAATCACTTTAGTGGTTAAGTTAGTAACATGGTTATAAAGTAAATCTGACTTCCCCATTGACTTTTCTTGTCAAAAGGTCGCAAAAGCTGATCACATGACTTCAATTGTCATAAATATGAGCCAGTTGCCAGGCATCCGAATGTTAATAACATAACCATGTGGGTGCTGCAATGGTCATAATTGTGAAAAACACTTTTTTCAGTACCATTGTAACTTTGAATGGTCACTAATTGAATGGTTGTAAGTCAAGGACTACTGCAATTCCATCCCATCTGTTTATAGTTTATTGGATGCTTACTGTTCCAATGAACTTTTATCTGCAATTTCAAGAACTCCCATAAACAAGAAACATTGCAATAAGAAGAGACTTTAGCTTTGAAACATCCACAGAGCATGAACAGATTAAACTCTCCTCGCACTTCCCACAGTTATAATAATAAAGGAAGACAGAAAGACAACAATATAAATGACATTACAGAACCCATGAAAATGGAAATATTACAAATATGCTTTGTAACTTTGAAGTGGGCTTAGCAATAGGACTGTTCTTTGAAGGAAATTATTCAGAAAACATATGAAACACCTTTTGTCAAGCCCTTAAAACAGTCACATCTTTCCCCAATCTTATATGCAGGCACAGCCAGCAACAAGAACAGGAGCTAGAAAAAGATGTATTCCATGAATTCCAGTGGGCCTCTTTCATAGGATTTATAAAATCCCAATAAGCAATTTGTAAAAATATAGGCAGATTTTTCTGTTCCTTTTCTAATGATCTTACAAATTTTCATTTGCCTTTTCACAGCAGCCATAACTCAACCAGGTTTCATTAATACTTCCTCTTTTATACCTAAGTGCTTTTCTTTGGTAAGAAAAATCTAGCAATGGTAATGTAATGGATAATGTAAGTTATTCAGTTAGTCTTGTTGAATATTCCTCAATACTGGTTGGCTGTAGAGTTTAGATACTAAAATTGTTATACTGTAAAGCTTCTTTTGGAATAAATAGCAAGGAATTGTCATTCAGGCAGTATTAAAAACTTATTTCCTATAGTCATTGAACTTTGGATCTATATGTTTGGCTTGCCCATACTACACATAGCTTGATGCTGCTAGACTGCACTTTCACTCTACTTGGACAGACCTCACAGTGATCTAGTTGCGATGTACACATGAGACTTGTATATCCAAAGCTGAACCACTATCAGAACTTGCTCTCACTTTGCTACAAATGCATCAAAGAGAACAAAACCTTGAGTAAGTTCTGAGAGTATTCCAGCTTCCCCTACATAAGCCCAATGATTTGTATATGCACAGCTAGATTGCTACAAGAACTCACTCCTCCTCTGCCTGGAAAAGCTGTCTGTTGTCTAAGCAGAAGACATACCAAAATGATTACATTAGAGGCTGATACAAACTCATTGATTTTGGGGGTTCACAGCACTATGGTGTTTAAGAACCCCTGTGCTACAGATCTGTGTGCAACTTGGGGGTCTTTCTGGATGCTTAGCTTCTGCCTGAGACGCAAGTAGCAGCTGT